TTAGTTTAATACATCTAAGAACTCAATGAAGAATAAACGTAGTTGAAAACAAAAAATCGCATCTAAAATAGTACAGTAGAAGCCATTCTTCAGGTTAAGCCTTAATCCTCTCTCTCCCCCCACAGGGGAATTTCTAAATTCTTATTGTGCATTTTCATGACGTACCCTAACTGTGTACCAAATTTCACCTCTTTAGGTTCAGCGGTTTGCTCTGGGCGATGATGAATCAATCAATCAGTCAGTAAGGACATGTAATTTTATATATATACATACCAAATTTTGTTACTGAATCTTTACCCCATTCCGAGATATTAAACGAAAAACACTCATCTTTTCTTTTTTTTTTTTAACTTTTCTGGGTCCAGGGGATCTCAAAACAGTCAAGAATTCTAAAAAAAAAATCCGGAGGGTCAAATTTCATTACAGTATAATACTTTCCCGTGTTATGTTATAACAGTCAGGAAAGTAATAAACATTATATTACAAGTAACAAGTCCGAAGTACAAAACATTTGTGCTCTTATAAAAAGTAAAATAAAACTCAAAAAGTTTTATGGAGAACGGAAACAATAAAGCTTGTATATTGTTTGGATGTTTTATAGATCTGATGCTGGAAAGTAGATAAGTAAATTATACTTAATTTCCTAAATGGGTCGTTTATTTTGAAAGTGGACTATGTCCATTTTTCAAAAAAAAATTTAGTCAGCTGTTATAATGTTTACATTTCGACGTTATTTTTCATTCTTTAACAATTTGCAGCGTATTATGTTGGAAATTCATTGAGATTTTGGAAACAGAAAATTAGCTGGTTAATAGAACAATAAAAATTTTTATTTTGAATTTCTAAGTCTACTTTGACAAGTTTCAAACTAATATGCAGTATGTTATGCAGTAAAATTTTATTAGTTAATAATTACAATAATAAATCTATTATATATAACATAATTTTACAATAATAACACATTGATGGTGCTGCTCACTACTCCTGTAATCCTAACATCTATAATAATCCTAACAGAAAATTCTTACATCCTAATCTGAATACAAAGATGATTTTTAATTTATACCTGCTTGAATGCAAAGAAAATAAAACAAGCGCTGTTAATGAATGGTTTTATAGAAAATTTTTTAAAGATTTATGATGTATGTAAATAACGTAAATTAAATTACATTTCCACCAGCAGCGGAAAAATACATGCCAAAAAATGCAATCTATTAAACATCAAAATTAAAACATCAAATAATGGCGAAGAAAAGGAAGTAAATCTTATGGAAAAACATGATATTTATTTTAGACGAGCAGAATTGACTAGAAAATCATTAAAGTAAGACCAAGGTTCCTAGCATCACTATTACGCTTTTTCTTTTGACTTGCAAAAAGCACTGCCTTAACCAAAGTTGACTATTTCAATTGTATATTAGAAGCGTAGTTTGTATTTTTGAAATCTGGTTTTTCATAATTTCTATGATAATAATGTTTACGTTTATCTCTGGGATGAAACCGTTGCATCCAGAAGAGCACAGGAAGAAGCATCACGTATTCTAAAACATCTAACAAATCTTAGAAATGAAGAACAATTTTTCTTTGCGTTTGAGAACTGAACCGTATAAAATGTTCTATAAAACATCAATTAATTAATGTGAATACAGAATTTAAAACTGGATTTACTACTGCTCCAATATTTTTAAATTATTTAAGGGTTTGCGTTTTAATCATCTCGATTTAAAAATAAATGGACTAAGGCCACTTTCAAAATAAACGGCACGAATGTAGTCTATTAATTATTTTTATAATCTTTAAAATATTTCACGTAATATCTTATTTATTGTTTATTATTATAATTATACATATATAAACTTAAAATTGTCCATCTAATCTAAGACTACCAGATATATCATCCTCATTTGATAGGACTTTCTTATTTGACTCACTAGGACCTTTCCTCCATCTTAATTTGAACTTTTCGTTGTTCCGATATTCATTTTTTCGTCTTTTATTTAGAAATTGTGAGCTTATTTTGTTAAATAAATTGACATAACGATGTTAATACGTATTGTTTTGAAATATACATTTTAAGATGGATAAAAACTATTTATATTACTTTTTAGAATACAAATATTGTATAATTCATATAACCAAAACAAAGAAAAAGGTTTGTTCCTCCATTACTTTCAACTGAAACGTATCGTTTCAATATAAAATTTATCAAACCGTTCCATTAAAATTACATTTCTGATAAAGATTTATATTTATTTATTTTTTTGATGACAATCACAATTTTTTTTTTATATAATCCCAAACACTTCTATTGAATTTAAATCTGTTGATTCACACAAAATCTATTGAAATTTCATCATATTCGATTCTTTCTTTTTAAATTCTTAAAAATTTCACAAATCATATACCGAAAATAATAATTATTGTTATAAAAATATGATTATTTTATAACCTTAATTTGCTTATATTATTTCTTGCAAAATGTTGAAATAGTTTTCCATTTACAATATTTCATCCTTTAAATGCAATATGCTAATAATTCTTGAATTTGAAACGTTGCATTGTAATAGATTCATTCTTTCTTCATCGTTGGCTTTACACAGATTGGAGAAAATTAAATTTAATTTTCTGCAAACTTTATCACAGTCAAAACAAAATAATTTTCTTTTCTTTTTTTTTTACTATTTCATATAAAATGAAAATTGTGAGAGAGAGAAATATATTTTTAGTCTTTATTCACTTATAAAGACTAGAAAATCAACAAAAAAAACTTTTTAAACAGAATTTTTTCTCATTTTGGTCTTCATGGACGTTTCTCGTAAGCTGAAGTGTATGATGGCCAGATAGCAATGGTTAAGATGGTAGCCTACCACTCAAAGGAGCCCTAAATCGGATTCGAAAGGGTAGAAAAACTCGGGGATGGTCCGCTTGGATATATCGGGCCCAGTCCTTTACCACACAGACGCCCATTGTGGCCCTGAGCGAAACCATAATGGGCTTACTAAAAAAGCCTTCTTAGTGTGTATAGGGCGAAGTTCTAAAAATCTGAACTATAACATTTTGGAGCTGTTTTGCCGCTTCAATCGCATGTTAAGACTTTTTGGAAAATTCTTACTATATTTACAACAGCTACATTTCATTAGAATGTTCTCATTCGCTTTCCTCTATAGTTATGAAATTCTTACTTCTTTCTGAAATTATCAGTATCTACAGACTTCTGATTTCTTATAAGACACTGGGTACTATATTATTCTATATCATCCACCTGTTGAAATAATTATCTGAATACTAGATATCAATAATCAGTTTTTTGATATCAGAAAACTAGTCTTTTTTATCTTGCTCACTCAATACAAATAACGAAATATTTTTACTGTCAATTATATAGGATCTACTTTTCATATCATTAAGTAAAAAACAGTACTATTAATATAAAAAATTCATGTACTTAAACAACACGGTAGACCTGTATTTTCAACTTAAAATATCCAAGAAAGTTACAGATGTAGTAGAAATTATAAAATAAAAATTTATACTTGTTCATTCAAGTTATACTATCACAATATCTATTATATCCATACCTATAAAGGAAACACTGAGGACGAAGTATAAGGGCGTATTTAGTATAAGATGATATCATGCTATTAGCATTTTCGATTTTAGCCTAGAGGTAATAAAGTAATTGTTATAAGAAACGGAAATTTAAAAAAAATCCCGTTTTAGTCATGTCATATTTCTTCTTACAGCCTATCAATTATATTAATTAATTGGTAGACTACATTATAAGTACAATACATTCGTGCATAATGCATTAGTTAAGCAAAAAGTATGTAAAAATTAAATTTTAATATTAAAAAAATGGACAATGTAAATAAACGGAATTTACAATCTCCATATGAGATATAAGAAAAAAATTCCAACAAATATCTATTTTTAAACGTTATAATTATTACTTTTTAACGTTATAAATTTTTATTTTGCGAGAAAAAAAAAATTTATAACTTGTATTGTACAACTTTGAGGATGCATTTTATTATATCAATAATAAAAAGTTAATATACTTAAACTTACAAAAACTTCTAACGTTTAACTATTATTTTCTGTGGTATACTTATTACAATTTACCCTAACTTTCAGCATAAAACAGTTTCCGTATATATAAATATTATTCCGTTTAAAATTAATAAATTCTTTAAAAATTTTTGTATAATGACATTTATAAACAACTGGAATGGCATAAATATTTGACATGGGCATGACATGTAAGCTATAACTTACTATGGACTTTCTCCATTTCTATCTCACACAGCTTATATGAAAAACTTTATGTTAATATGCTTAATATTTTGAAAAAGTTAATATATTTTCAATAAATATTAGGTTTTAAATCGAATCTATATCTTTATCTCTCTAAGTTATACTAGCAATAATACATCATATACTTTTATGACGTTTAAAACCACGTGATAAAAACGAAGTCCCGGAGCTTCCTAACCCTGTAATACCAGAAGAATTGTGACTGGACTTAGAAATGAACTTACGCTACCTCAATGCGAACCCTGTTTATTTTATGATGGATCTATTGAAATATCATAGAAAGATAGCGAATTTATTCAATATCGAATCATCGTCATTTGTCAGCTTTTATCATTAGTTACTACTTGAAAACATCTAAACCTAATTTTAAATAAATCAGATGATATCTTATATATTAATAGATTTTATAAACAAATCTCTCCTACATAACTCTACGCATTCAGAAGTAATAGATTAATAAAAATATTAAAAAGAATTTATTTATAAAAAACATCAATGATTCATTTAAAACTATGTAAATTAAATAGTTTTGCATTCGTTCCGCAAACATCAAAATATTTTTAAACTCTACAACAGGAATTTATAAACCAAAACAAATAACTGTTTAAAAAAAATAACCTTTTTAACTTTCAAATGATTAAATTTTTTCATTAAATTACTAGAATAAATATGAAATTCGAGCTCACCCTATGTCCTTCCATTAAGTTGTTACACAAACCAGTAAAACTCGTCCTCTACGTTGATTTAAACGTTTAATTTATCACACGCATCTGTTACGTTCGCGAGTAATTATCTATAAACAGTTAAAATATAACAGCCGAAACCACGCACAAACAAACGGTCAATTACGAATCGAATATTTATATAAATTCAAAAATTCGATCATCACGTCAATTATATTCCATATAATTTATTAATATGTTACAAAAATGATTCATTACGCACGCACGACGGTACAAAACATTTAGTACAATTTCTGATCTAGCAATCGCGAACACATTGTAGAAATTTGTTATTCAGCTGCACAGTACTGTACAACAGTTCGGTAGTTCCTATTAGAATATCTTTAAATAGATTGTTCGGGAAAGAAGGAAGTTTACAGTTATCGAAGATAAGTACATCTACGCTATGGTTCCTCATACCGCGTAACGTGGTCTTCAGGATCTGCTCGGCGCGGATGTTTTGACACACAACGATGACGTCGGGCTCGTAAGGATTTCGAGTATGAATAGAATTGCAGCTGCAAGGATGAATGTCTTCTAATCTGGGGCATTCGTGGATCCATCCACTTGCGTAGCCGAATACCAAGATGATTAAGAAAGATACATACATACATTCTTCGTATCTGAAAGGATTTCAAAATTAACAACGTATCATTGTTTATTAAATAACTTAAACTAAACTGTAGTATTAAATTTTAGTCGAAATTACACATATGTTCCTTTCTCATAGCAAAGAACAACGGTTATAGGTCGCAATACAGTCCAATATTTTGACATTATTTATGTTATAAAATACATTATACTTATCAATGATTGATGTAAGTATTAATAATATATACACTAATATTAGTATATCAGAAACAAATATACGTGCTTCTTAGTGATAGATTAGCATTAACATTATGTGATAACAAAAACACAAGTTATCAGATCGTATTAAAAGAAAACTGATTCCCTTCCAAACATTTCTTTACATAATGATCCACAAATTTAAAAAATCTGATAAAATTTTACTCGTTTTATTTACATATTTCTTATTCCCTTAGCGCAGTGGTGCCCAAACTTTTCGATTTGCGGGCCAAATTCCGCATAAGTCTCAAGTATTTCATATATACCAAGTAAACCTATAGTTATTTCTGATGCTTACGTGTCAAATATGTTCGAGGGCCGGATTTTGCTCGGGGGCCATAATTTAGACACCATAGCATTAGAGCAAAGAAAAACACCATTTTCTGTAGTCCTTCGGGATCCTTTAAAGATCAGCGTACTTCTTAAACTTCATGATTTACAAAACGCGAGTTTGTTATAAATTATTACAATTTAAAAGTAAGAAAACCATAAAACATTATGTTATTTTATTAATTATTATTTTAAAAAATCTGCAGCTTCACCTTTTGCTGATAAGTATCTTATTAATGAGGAAATGATTCNCTTACACTAATTACAGTTTGATTATGAACAGTATTTAATTTTTTGGCTGCATTTGTAGCATTCTCATCACTTAAAAATAAAAAGTATAAAACATGTCTCTTATATTCATCTGTTACTTCCATTTTAACGAAAATAAACAACTGAAATGTTCCCAATTCTGAACGTATTATATGAATGAGATCCAATTTAACACTTCAGTGTAAAAAGTATCACATTAGACTGGCATTTTTAACAGCAAAACATGATTTTTCTCAAAGTCAAAAAATACGCACGAACTTATGGACTGACCTGATACAATTTCTTATAAAAATCCATTCTTATCCTCAGAATTAAGCTTTTTCCCATTTTATAGTAGTTAAACTATAAAAAGTTTTTTAAATAAAATATCATAACAGATGGCGACATACGCAATTTTAGATGTTGGCGGGAAAGTTAAGCAATTCGTTGCTGGATTTTTTATTATTGAAATTTAACTGTTAAAAACGTGAGACAAACGATTGTAAATATAACAGACTGTTTCAAAATTATTCAGGGGTCTATTATAAAAATATTACAAGATTTTTTATAAACTTAAGCAATTATTTACAGTATATCAGCTATTATTAAACTTTTTTGTTCGCATTGTGCTGTAAAACGTGTAATACTTTTTGGCACAACCCATGCACAAAATTTAAAACATATTCTTATATTTTAAATTATGAATAGCTGTGTACAATAATTACTAATACTCGAAGGGTATACAACTAATTATAGCCTAACTATTAATTGATTATAGATGTATTAAATACTTATAGAAGCGTTTTTCTTTCATTTTTTAATTTGCTTTCAGAATATTCACGCACACTTATTCACGTCTTGCGGTACGCCGTTTGAGAATCAGTGATCTATATCTATGGACAAAGTCAAAAGAAACGATTAGTTAAATCAATTGTTTCTTTACAATCCTTATCGTCTTAATTATTTTTCTTATATGCATTGACCGTAAGATCGAAAGTTTCAGTGGGATATATTCTACAGCAATAATGCAAACTCGTGACCAGAGGGTCAAGAAAACAATTTAAATAAATGNATGTAATTATTTAAATAGTATTTTATTACCATTGACTTATTTAACTGAATTTTTCCAAATAAATAACAAAATTCAAAATTTTTATCTAAAATAATAATTATTACAACAAATTAATCTAAATTAACTAGCAACTAAACATAAAAGCTATAGAACTTAATTATTTTTGTAAAATATTTGACTTACAGAAAATCTTGATATATTATTTTTGCTAATGTTATTTCATTTCCTTAAACCAGTAATTAAGAGCTATTATACAGCATCATTTATTATTAAGCTATATTACTATATTACTATAGATTCATTATAATTTATTAAAAATTTCTTAATTTGTATGTATAATTGATTTTAAATACTGCTTAAAATATCTTTCACATGGCTTTAATGTTGAACAGATCTTACTTTCTTCAGATAAAACTATTTTAAAAAGTAATAATAAAGTTTAATTTAATATGAAGAAGTAGTAAAAATTATTATAAATTACTATATTTTGTCCAGTTTTCTATAACATTTATAGAGAATATCAAAATTTATACTTATGCATATTTTTCTTTAAATTTTTAGAATTCATATTCTATTTGCTGATACTCATTTTTAATTTCACTTTAATTCTATAATATACAACTATAAATATAATACTAAAATATAAAAACTTGCAAACTCATTAGAAAGCAAAAATCATTTTACTTTACATCATTTAACTAATATAAATGCAATAAATTAAATCTAATTTATTAAAACATTTTAATCCTTTTCATTTTTAATAAAATTAATATTTTGTACACTTATAAAGCTATTACATATAATAAAAAAAGGAGTACTTTAATTATCAATTATAGTAAAATATTATTTTTTTTATTAGGTAGCATTTAATTCATTTAAAGGAGGAAACAATATGAAAAAAAATTCCATTATGAATAATGTATTATAATTTAGGAAACAATTCTTTAAATACCATTTATTAAACTGAATAACATTTTCTTGCTTCAGTACACAACAAAGTCTGTAGTGAATGTAGACAAATGTAATTGTTAATAGTAGAAAGGTTAAAATTCCACTATACTGAATGCAATGCAGCACTAAGATTAATTCAATATAAAAAGTATTATAATAATTTTCCATATTAAATAAAAATATATAATATGTTAGAAATATTTTACATCAATTTAAAATTTTAATTAAGTGTAACAAAACTTAATTGAATATGCATACATTTCAAATCACCACCACTCACATGTATTATATGATTAATCACTAAATACATTTAAAATATTCTTATCACAGGATAAAGTTATCTAAAAGACTAAACCAGCTTCATTCTATGTCATATTAAGAAAATAATCTACCATTACATGTAAGATTAATTTGAGTAGAGGGGGGAAAAATCAATTATTAATATATAGATAAATCAAATAAATTGCATAATACATCTGTATAATTACATGAATCAATATCTTTTAATTAAATATCGACTTTCCTTAACAATATAATTTATATCTAAAAATTACAGCTCATTTGTTTTTATTGCATAACATACTTTATTAGTTAGCTTATTTTCTAATGTAATATTAAGAAATTTTACACATCTATAGTAAATAAAAAAACATAAAATACTGTAATTACACAATACCTTGATATTAATTGAAAGTATCACTGCAATTTTTAAGATTAATCTGCTAAAGCACAACTTTTTAGCATTTATAACAACACACATTGCTTTTATGATGCACTACATTAATGTCTGTTTATTAATAATTCAGTGATAATTATTAATAAATAGCTTTTTTCAACTTTTTAAAAATGTTTTAAAAAAATTTACTTTATAATTATAATTACAAATTAACAAATAAGCCTGTCACATAACAAAATCAGTCAATGGAAGAATAGATTTCAGGTATGTAAAAAAAAATGTACTGCAGCCAATTAGTCAAAAGCAGATTAATATAAAAAATTTCATGTACATTAAATTTATCTACTGTATACATTTATATGATAATAGAATATCTGTTTTGACTTATGTTTATCAACATTATTATTAAATGATTTAATTATTTAATTTAGAAGAAACCAGCCAACTTGAAATATGTTAATTTTATTATTAAAAAAAAAAATCTGGCTGTGAAGCATATATTTTGAATTTAAAAAAATACAACTTGAAACTATTTTTAGCACATTATTGATTTATGGTTAATAACAAAAAAAATTTTTGATTATTTTTTTCCGGCAAATTATAATATGCCTGTTCTACATTATTTTTAAATTAATGCAAACTATTAGACTCTTCAACCAACAATAAATAGTAAAAGGTAATAAACTTTAAATTCAGATTGGTTCAGTTGTAATAACTTTAGAGCACATAATTAGGATTAATTAAAGTGTTGTTTCTAATGTTTGAAACACGAATTAAACGTAACTTGACCTTAGCTTTTTTTAATAATAAAAACTGGGACAAATGATTGCACGGTCCACTTAACAATAATCTTCTAAATGATAAAAAGAAATGAGAGACAATAATTATTGGTGTAGAACGAGGGGAAGAAATAAAAAACAAACATGCTACAAGAGGTGAGGAAACTATAATAAGTTACTTCTTACCAAGTCCATCCGATTCGAAAATTACAGCTTCATGAACTCCGAATTTTCGGCACCATTTCAAAAAATTTTCAGCGTTATCTCGGGCATAGAAAGATTTTGATTTGGCATTTTCCCAGCATTTAAACTTTACCGTAGGAACAATCTAAAAAAATTTTATATTTATTTATTTATTAATTTTAAATATTAGCAAAGCAAAAATTTTTTTGTTTTTACTTCTAAAATTAGTTGTGCCTTTAAGCAACGCAGAGATTGAGTTTCGCAACAGTAAACAGGCATCATTATTGTTAATTTAAATACACAATAAACATGTGCATTGAAAGTTTGAACTAATTAACCAATTAGATCCACGACAAATTTCAAATTAACCAATTACAAATGGTTTAAATTACAAAACTAATTAAAGAGTGAAGCAAATTTAATATTTTAAACACAATTAACTTAATAAATTATATTTACAGAATATATAAATTTACTAATAACAAAGAAATTTTAAATTGAAAATTAACCAATCAAACAGATTTTAAAATTTAAAACATTTATGTGGCTCCATCTGGTGTCATTAAAAACAAGTATAAACTTACATCGTATTTACAAAAGTATCGTTTCATCATTGAAATATTTTAAATTTTAACTATTAAAATACAATTTATCTAAATAATAACATATTAAATATATAATGAAACTTATATAGGTATTTAATAAATTATGTATAAATTTTTAGATAATTACACCGACCAATAAGCACTTAATATTGCGAAAACGTTCGACCAATAGGAAGAAACTGTTTGTTTTTTAAATTCGAATCTTTGTTGTTTCAATTGTATTCGCAAGAATGATTTTCTCAGTCGAAAAATAGCATTAAAAACAACGAAAAATTACTATTTTTTATATTACCTCATCAGTTAACCCATTCTTCCTATATTCTTCCGCTCTTTTTTGAATAAGCTGAGCTAAATGGCACACTATCACTCCATTATCAAGTTTATAGAGGAAGTTGTCGGCTGTAATTTCTTCGATTTCTGCAGGAAAAGTTATCGAAAAATTGTTAACAACAAAGAATGAAACACGTATAAAATTGGTTCTTACCTACCTAATGTTTTATTTAACCATTCTGCCAGGTCTTCTTTTAATGGGATCAGATGTTGTTCCTGTTTCAGTGCTATTTTCTTCTGTAAATCTTCTTCGGTGCAATCCGGTGAGAAGTCGACATTTTTCTGCCAAGAAGCTGCCATTTTCCTTTGCAAATAAATTATTTTCTGACTTTACTGCATCCCTAACTTAACACAGACCACCTTAACGATAGAAAAAACGGTTAAATCTGCGAAACATATTTTTCGTATAAAAACACGCACGATGTACTCCAGGTTAGAAAATTACGTGAACGAGAACGTTATCGAAGATGCGTGAAAATTCGAAATTTTAGAATTTTATTTTATTTTTTATTTATTTTTTTCACGTATTAATCCATGAGCAGGAAATAAGTTGACTCAGATATTTAATTAAATAATAATAATAATAATAAATAAAGACAATAAACAAGCTTTCAAGGGCAATATGATTCTATTATAGGAATTATAGACTGACCTTAATATAATTGTCTGGGAACGGAGACTTGCAAATTTAATATAAAATTTAAAAAAGAAAATAATAGGAGAATATAAACTTTAGTAAAATATAATAGAAAAATAAACTGAAATGAATCATATATAGTATAAAGTTACAACTATATTTAGTGTATAAATAATCTTTAAATAAAGAAAAAATTATTCATAAATTAAATAAGATCGACATCAAAAAGTGGATTATCGTGATTAATCATAATAATGAAAATTATAAAGTTTTGAGAGTAAACTCCTCCCTGATTTTTGACAGTTTTGCAAGTATGAACTCGGGAATTTTAGGGCGTTAGATAGATGGTCCACCCCAACTCATAGTTGTGGCCCCACTAACCGCACCAATCCCAGTTGCTGACGATTTAATTCACTAATCGACTTTCTACATGGGAGTTTTCCACTTGTTTTCGGATAGTTAATGGGATACAAATCATTTTAATTATTTGAACAAGTGAAAGACAGAAGCGCCGATTACGAACTAAATCCTGGATTAGCATTGTTTTTAAATAGAAAATATATTAAACAATTAATAATTTCGATTTACTCGATCAAAACAGTGAAGTTGGCGAGTGGCGCCCCATAATCTGATATGTTACCAGGCGAGCAGGAGAATGCAAAACAGTAAGCATATATCGATTAATTCCAGATGTCACTGGTAAGTCTAACGATTAAACCGGACTAAAAGAAAGTGATAAATCGAAATTTACAATAGAATTTAATCTGTTAATCTCTTAGCTTTAATTAAGCAACGGCGGCGACAACAAATCTGAAAGATTAACGTGGTCGAAAGAGTAAATCGATTAATGGGTATTTGGTAATCGATAACTGATGAAACCTAACGTGTAGAATCTATCTTCTTTATGTAATCGATTAATGGCAATCGGTTATCGTCTGAGGAGGTGGAAAGTGGAGTAGTAGTAGGCTGTTAGGCGCCTCCATCACAAACACGCTCGCCCGGCTCCACGGCCATTGACTGTCGCTCATTCATCGAAACATTACGCGAGTAAACGAGTATTTTTAACGCATCTTACGTATAAAAATTTTCGTTACGAAAACGGCGCTAGCGACGAAACTTACCAGTCAAGTAAGCATCCTTTCTTCTCAATCTCCTTCGTTGTTTCCGCCTTTCGCACGTGCAAATTTCCCTTCTTCCCTTCTCTTCGTCTAAATGCGTACTATGTTCAACGCCATCTGCTGTCGTCGAACGATAACAAGGAACAAAATCGTTATTTTTCAATTAGTCGAGCGGAAATGTCTTGTTATTATTGCTTTTTTTTAAGTCCTTAAAAATTGTTAAGTACTTTTTAGCAACGTAAAGTATTTTTCATTTCTATTAAGTTAAAAAAAAAAACACTTAAAATGGCGCGTCGCAATTATCTGTTATTTCATTATTTATGAAGTGTTTTATAATCAAATTTAATGATTTATTATTTATCGCAAAAAGCGAATATTAATTAGTTCGNCTAATCTGGGGCATTCGTGGATCCATCCACTTGCGTAGCCGAATACCAAGATGATTAAGAAAGATACATACATTCTTCGTATCTGAAAGGATTTCAAAATTAACAACGTATCATTGTTTATTAAATAACTTAAACTAAACTGTAGTATTAAATTTTAGTCGAAATTACACATATGTTCCTTTCTCATAGCAAAGAACAACGGTTATAGGTCGCAATACAGTCCAATATTTTGACATTATTTATGTTATAAAATACATTATACTTATCAATGATTGATGTAAGTATTAATAATATATACACTAATATTAGTATATCAGAAACAAATATACGTGCTTCTTAGTGATAGATTAGCATTAACATTATGTGATAACAAAAACACAAGTTATCAGATCGTATTAAAAGAAAACTGATTCCCTTCCAAACATTTCTTTACATAATGATCCACAAATTTAAAAAATCTGATAAAATTTTACTCGTTTTATTTACATATTTCTTATTCCCTTAGCGCAGTGGTGCCCAAACTTTTCGATTTGCGGGCCAAATTCCGCATAAGTCTCAAGTATTTCATATATACCAAGTAAACCTATAGTTATTTCTGATGCTTACGTGTCAAATATGTTCGAGGGCCGGATTTTGCTCGGGGGCCATAATTTAGACACCATAGCATTAGAGCAAAGAAAAACACCATTTTCTGTAGTCCTTCGGGATCCTTTAAAGATCAGCGTACTTCTTAAACTTCATGATTTACAAAACGCGAGTTTGTTATAAATTATTACAATTTAAAAGTAAGAAAACCATAAAACATTATGTTATTTTATTAATTATTATTTTAAAAAAAATTAGAATAATAAATAGAATAAGTACTTTAAAAAATTTGAAAAATGGAAATTTGTTATATTTGTCTTTTTTTTTTTTTTTCAAAAAACTTGGAATTTTAGTAACAAAGTTCAACAGGAAACACAAGTACTGTACTTTCACCACTTTTTCACACATTGCAATGACTTCTGGAATCAGTACTTTGTACCTCCAAACTGTGGAAGCATTTGAGCATCACTTCTGTATAAATTCTTAATACTGCTCGAAAGTTAATGAAAAATAAATATGCTATCATTATTATTATATTCTTATATATCTAAATTGCAGATTACTGATGTGAAAAATATTGATGAGCAATTTGAATTGTTAAGAAAAATTAAAATGTAATAAACTTTGATTATTGCTTAAACACTATTTCTTTTTTCCTGGAATGTATCAAATCAATAAATTATTTTTCTCTTGTTGAAAAATGTTAACAAAATTAATCTCAGATGAAAGCAAGTCCTAATAATAGCATCTCTAGAACTTCATAAATATATTATATGACTTTTTTTTATCCATTACATGCTGAAAATACGTCACAATTCTTTTTTTTTATATTCCAAAAAAAGTATTCACATAATGCTTACTTACAAGAGCAAAACAATTTCTTTTTTTTTTAATTCTATTTTGTTTCAGTTTTATCCGAGGGCCGATATTTAGCTTTAATCTGCAAAAATGAATTCGATCCGTTTGTGTAATGTATAGGATTTGTATCGGCCGCTATGTACTGTGTCAACGATTTCCGGTCGACTACTATCACTTGGCACGGATCCCGTCTTGAGAGAAAGTGCTCTAAGGTATCCCAACCTCCTCCTACACGAACCATTACGTGACGGCCTTTCAGTAATCTAACAAAAACTGACTTTCCTCCTATTGAGTATCTACCTTCTGCTAATTGAACGACCTCATTTTTGTCTTTACCAATAGAACCCACAATTTACATTACCTTTTGGTCCAATTTGGATGGCTTGCGCTTTTTAGTATTTGCTGAATTTATCTTTTTTCCTGAGTCAGATTTATCGCCATTACTGATCCTCAAAGAGCTGCTGCTTTTTCTTATTACTGAGCAGGCAGCATCTGTTGAAGTATCTAATTGATATGCTGAGCTGTCTAGTGGATAATCCGATGCATCCAATTGATCAGTAGAGCCATTAAGAGGATTGGCCGCACCATTCAAAGGATCAGATGATCCATCTAAACAGAATGATGACTCTGAAGTAGAACTGAGATCAGGAGAAAGACCATGTTCCTCCTGTTCTTCAATCTCCTTCTCTAGTTCTACCAACCCTGGTGGCTCCATTCCATATTTGGCAGCAATTCGTCCAAGTTCTAAAAGGCATAAGACCACAGCCCTAGTCTGTGTATGTAAAACAAGTCCATCCGATTCGAAAATTACAGCTTCATGAACTCCGAATTTTCGGCACGGCACCATTTCAAAAAATTTTCAGTGTTATCTCGGGCATAGAAAGATTTTGATTTGGCATTTTCCCAGCATTTAAACTTTACCGTAGGAACAATCTCATCAGTTAACCCATTCTTCCTATATTCTTCCGCTCTTTTTTGAATAAGCTGAGCTAAATGGCACACTATCACTCCATTATCAAGTTTATAGAGGAAGTTGTCGGCTGTAATTTCTTCGATTTCTAATGTTTTATTTAACCATTCTGCCAGGTCTTCTTTTAATGGGATCAGATGTTGTTCCTGTTTCAGTGCTATTTTCTTCTGTAAATCTTCTTCGGTGCAATCCGGTGAGAAGTCGACATTTTTCTGCCAAGAAGCTGCCATTTTCCTTTGCAAATAAATTATTTTCTGACTTTACTGCATCCCTAACTTAACACAGACCACCAGTCAAGTAAGCATCCTTTCTTCTCAATCTCCTTCATTGTTTCCGCCTTTCGCACGCCTACCCAATAAAAAAAAAATGTCTAGATCATTTTGACCATCCAAGACACTACAAAAGCAACAAAGACTACTTGCAGTTAACTGGGTGCTGCAGTTGCTGTTGCTGATATAGCATCTGAAAAGACTCCAAATATTGCCCTGCCTTTGTCCAAAGATGGCTCAGCTCTTGTTCTCTCTAAGTATTTGAATCTCTGAGTTAATGCCAGAATCATGCTGATAGTCAACTTATGGGTGAAAGGAGGTCTTGTCAATGGTTCACTAGGAACTATACACTTCATATATGCTCCTAATGCTTACCCTCCAGCTCTTCCTCTATTTTAGTGGAATTCAATAGCTATCAGGGACCTTTCATCTATGGTAATCTGTTTCCAATAATCCCCATAACAAACTCTTCGAACAATGGCAGTATATTGCAATTTCATAGACAGTTTCCCCTTAACTTAGCATACTCGATGACTCTACATAAATCACAGGGATTAACTCTTCCAAAAATCAAAATAGATACAGGTAAAAAAGAGATAGCTATCAATCTTACCTATGTTGCTTTCAGTCGAGTGAAAAAAATAACTGACATAGTATTTTTAAATAGTTACAATAACAATTGCTATAAGTCAATCTGTAAGTCCAAGGTCCATAGTGATAGATAGAATTTCATGATACATTGGCATAACAATTAATTAATGGCTTATTCTGCCCTTATATTTTTACCTTTAAATGATAGAATAGAAATCAAATATATTGTTGAAAACAAATGATTCTTTCTCTCTTTTTTCCCTCATAATCTAGAAAATGAAGGTGTGAGCAGCCTCGCTCTGACTACATGTTGATACAGCATTACCTAACTAGTTTATTACAGAATATACATATATGGTTTTTCTGCATTTTTGGAAATAAAATATTTAANAAAAAAAAATCAATGTTTCCTCCACAATAACTGACATTTTCAACACAAGATAGTGATTATTATTCATTAAAACAGGTAAATTTCTATGATGATTAAATATGCATTTTGTTTAAAAATATCTAAACAATTTGTTTAATTTTCTATTTGTTATTGCACAAATCATTTGAATATATATAACTTGAAATAATAAATTAATATAAAGAAATAATTTATAAAAATAAATGCATATAAAAAATTTTAAAAGATTAGTTTTAATATTCATCTTACTAAATTGTGAAATGCACCAGTCTTGTTCAAAAATTTTCAGGAATGGGTCACAAAGTTAAAAGGTAATTTAATAATTTTGAAGAATGGCATATAAAGAAATTTATCATCCAGAGCTTCAATATTAATATACTTTTTCCAATTCAAAAAACATTCAGAGGGAGGGGAAAAAGTCAGTTTATTTCGAAAGATCAGAAAATTCTCTTCAATTCATCTTATACAAGTTCTGCTGATTCAAACTGTTTTCTTTTAAAGTTTTTAACTTTTCCCTTTAGCAAAAATTGGAAAAACTTTAAAAAAGGAAAATGGTTTGAGTCAACAGAACTCATACAAGAGAAACTGAAGAAAATGTTGCAATTCCTGAAAAAAGCTGACTTTTCTAAATGTTTCTAGATAGTAGAATTATTAAAGAAAGTGTACTGAAAAACAGGATGATTATTATTTTTTAAAAGTATTAAATAAATTTCTTTATATCCTATAATGTCTTGATATTTTTTTACTTATTCCTAGAAGTAATTGAACACACTATGTATTAACTATAAAGTTATATTAATATATTAATATGAATTATGTTTGTTTCATATTTCTTGTTAAAAATTACGAAAAAACATTTTTATATTTTGAGGCATTTATGTAATTTATTCCAATAATTTTAAGCATAAAAACATTCCTTAAAGAAGTCCATGAAAAACCTTTGAGATTAAATCTTATCATTAAATCTTTTGTTGAAAATTTTATCTCAAATGTTTCATGATCCTCTAAACTTTTAAATCTAAAAACAGTTCTAAATTAAATTTTTATAATTTATTACACAATAAATTTATTAAATCATGAATTATTTCTTGATTTTAAATATGATCTATCAATATTTAATAATATATACATTATAAAAACTGAAATATTTGTATAAAATATTTAGAAAATGCCTCCACTTTTTTTAGGAATTAAAGTAATTAAATAAATAAAATATATCTTAAAATAAAAATATTCTAATTATTATGAGAACAAAACATTTTCAACAAGTTCAATTACCATCTTCAGATTCTATTGTAATGCAATGCAATGCAAAAAAAAATTCAAAAAATATTTTTAAGTTTCTGATCTCAGAATAAGTAATAATATCAGTAATACAATGCTATTCAAGAGTTATAGTTATTAAATAATGAACATGGAAAAACTAAATGTATCTTTTGATATATTGTTGGAATTTTCTGGAAGATATATACAGCTCTTCCTTAATAGTCTGACAGGTATGGGACCAAAGGGGTGTTGGATTACCAAAAGTGTCCGAATTACCAAAAATAATTGCATATTTTGCATTGTTTTGCTAGCAGTAGCTTACAATATTCCCTACTCCAACTGTTCGAACAGTACTACTCACAGAAAACACACGAAATGTGTGTCATTGTGTAAGAATTAGATGGGGAGATTCACATCGCGACATGCTTCTGTGCAAGCAGACACGTAACAGGGACAGGTACCTTGACGGGAGATGCGTCGGACTACTGAGCACTTAATTTAATAAAGATTTATATCATTAATAAAAACAATCTGCATAGAATAAAACAGAAATTTATTTTATTAATAGAGTATGAGTGAATAATGATTAATTATGCCAGAAAAGTTTTACTTGGCATTAAAATGTTATCGAAACATCAAACGATGCATTGTTGTTTTATTAACAACACATTTTTCATTTAGTTTTACGTATTTATATATTTTTTCCAAAATAATAATGAAAAAATTACTCGATGGTTAAGATATTAAATAAAAAATTTATAACAATAATGTGATTATATACACTTCAATAATAAATTATTTCTTGAATAAACAAACATTCTATTTCTTAAATATGCTAGGTCTATAATAGTTAAATATTTTCTAGTTGATCATTTCTTTTATTTGTAAAATCTCAGTAGAATTTTAATATCAATATAAATATTCATAAACTGCTTACACAATCAATTGTGATCATTTTCTATTCATATGTAAAGTTGAGACAAAAAAATGCCTGCCTGTCAATCTGAAACACCAGGATTCAAACCCAACTTTGATATTAGGGATTCTGAGAAATCCATGTTAATCTAGCCCAGGTATATTCCATTTCCTAGAATCCAACAAACCTCAAATGCAAGGTTGGTTAAACCCATGAAGCAAACAGAAAACAAAAACCACTTGGTGCACTATAATTTTATTAACAATAAACTACTAAAGAAGTGTTTAGAATACTGTTTTTCTTAGCATCTTTTATTAATCTAATTCTGTTATATATCAAGATCTTAACTATTTCCTTTTGAATGATGTTCAGTTCTTTCTAAAATAATTCATTTGAAACTAACAATTTTTAAAATTTGTCATATTCTATAAATAATTATGATCTCTTTAAACAATTTTGTTTTTTAATTTTACTGTTATATGTCTTCTGCCTTAACACATTGCTGATCTGGCAAACAAATGTGTTAAGGTGCTGTTTCACCAGATTATGGGTTTGAATCTTGCTTTGGTCATAGATGTTTCTGTTTAATAAATTTTAATGAGGATTGCTGTTTGGCAGTCCTCTCTAAAGTTATTTTATGTAAAATTAACAAACTAAACCCTCAAATTCATTCTGTATTGATACAGTTTCTTATTACCAATCAAAGGATGTAAAAGATACTATCCATTTTCTAAAGAATATTGTGCATAGTAACAAAAAAAATATATTTTACAGGGTGATTATAATTAAGCAGGTATTTGGACCTCTGTAGAAAAAACTAATAGACCAAATGTAAACAAATTTTTGGTGTGCATACTTTCATAACAGTGCATTTTGATTTTGTAAATAAAAAAAGTTTAATTCCACAATTTCCAGATAGAAGAAATTTGAAATTTGATGCTAATTCAATGCAATTTGAATATTAGATATATTATCAAAGAAATTTAGATAATACAAAGAAGTTGAGACAAAGTGCAATAATTTTATTGCAATTTAGTATCGCAACTATAGGTTTTGAGTTGTAACTATCCATAAGTTACAATGTCATATATGATAATTTTACAGATTGTCAAATTGTACATTTATAAGTTACTTGAATATTTTTGAATCTGAATAACAGTTCTCCTATATGTGCCTTCCATCTACTTGATATAAAGCATACATTGAATGAACATGCACTCAACATTCCATGTTGAGTGCATGTTCATTTAATGCATGCTATGAAAGTTCATTTAATCCATTGTTATGAAAGTACACACACCAAAAATTTGTATACATTTGGTCCTTGACATTGTCTGACATGTAGTGAAAGTCTGCCTTTTAAGTCAGTAAGTTAAAAAACATCACCCTGATAAACAAGGTTCTTCAATTACCCCCATAACCAAAAATCACAAAGGGTCTATTCTGATGATGATAGACATTCTGTTGGAAATGATTGGCTAATCATTCTTTAATTTGTGAAGTACTGATGCAATAACTTTTGCACATTAACACCAATATGAAGAAATGTTCCACCTTGTATTTTTGTGAATATCCTATCAAGATTGTGGTATCCAAATAATTTCATTGCTGAAGTGCAAGGATGAGTTTTGAATCATGTTTTCATATCTAGATGCATTGACAGAACATAATCACTGGCTCAGATGCAGTGTTTTCCTGGAAAAAACACAGTCTAATAAATAAAAAGAAACAGGAAGATAGAGGACATGTATTGCAGAACTATTAGTCTGATTTATTGGTTATTTATTTCCACATGCAATCTGACATATGTAAAATTACCTTACGTGACATTGTAACTTATGGAGAGTTACAACTCTCACAGAAGCTATAATTGCCAAACTAAAATGCACTAAAGTCATTGCTCTTTTTGTGTCAACTTCTCTGTATTGCCTGACAACCTATCTAATATTCAAATTGCACCAATATGAGTGCAAAATGTTTCCATCAGGAAATTTTGGAACTTTTTATTTGAAAAATCAAAATTCCATAGTTAAGAAAGTATGCACACCAAATCTGGTTGCAGTTAGTCCAGGCATGGCCAACATACGACGCGTCTAATGAATATATGTGGCCCATGATCAATCTTTCAATATTAGCTACTCAATTCCGAATAGCTCAATGAAAAATTCTGATAACTGAAAAAAAAGAAAAAAGGCCAACAACTCACTGTGTGTTTAGAGTTAACTCTCCATTACAAATCTCGTAAGTACAGCATAGAATGTTCATAAAGCATGATAATGTGAAAAATATATCTGTAATCTCTATGTACAATTTAGTCTTTATGGGGTGACACCATATTGAGATCTTGCACCACCTCAAAATCTTCCTAGGGTAGCCTCTGGTTTGGCCTGTGGAAAAAGTTTTCTTTCTAATTCGGCCCAAGGGCAAAAACTGTTGTCCACCCGAGTTAGTCCATTAGTTCTTTCTAAACGGAGCCTAAACACTTCCCATTTAATAATAATGACTGTGTGGATAAAGACTGATCTATAATGATTGTGTTTACACACACACACACACAAATTCAGAAATATTGATATATATAATTTAGAGATACATACATATCAAACATCTTCTAGGCACATGAAATTAGTGAATAAAAATAAAACACCCAAGTGAATGAACTATATTTTTGGTTCTGGCTTTGCATTAAATTTAAACTATATTTTTGAATGTTTAAATAGAATACTGCAGTTATGCATGATAAATTGTATTTTGAATTTGCAAATTTACTTACTCTAACAAAAACTGACTTTCCTCCTATTGAGTATCTACCTTCTGCTAATTGAACGACCTCATTTTTGTCTTTACCAATAGAACTTACAATTTGCATTACCTAAGAAAACAGAAAATAGTTAAAAATTATAAAATAAACTGTAAAAATAAATTTTACCAACCTTTTGGTCCAATTTGGATGGCTTGCGCTTTTTAGTATTTGCTGAATTTATCTTTTTTCCTGAGTCAGATTTATCGCCATTACTGATCCTCAAAGAGCTGCTGCTTTTTCTTATTACTGAGCAGGCAGCATCTGTTGAAGTATCTAATTGATNTACATTACCTTTTGGTCCAATTTGGATGGCTTGCGCTTTTTAGTATTTGCTGAATTTATCTTTTTTCCTGAGTCAGATTTATCGCCATTACTGATCCTCAAAGAGCTGCTGCTTTTTCTTATTACTGAGCAGGCAGCATCTGTTGAAGTATCTAATTGATATGCTGAGCTGTCTAGTGGATAATCCGATGCATCCAATTGATCAGTAGAGCCATTAAGAGGATTGGCCGCACCATTCAAAGGATCAGATGATCCATCTAAACAGAATGATGACTCTGAAGTAGAACTGAGATCAGGAGAAAGACCATTTTCTTCCTGTTCTTCAATCTCCTTCTCTAGTTTTACTAACCCTGGTGGCTCCATTCCATATTTGGCAGCAATTCGTCCGTCTTAGAAAATTAGTCTTGTTTATATGTCGCCATCTAGTGACAATTCTATCCAACATTCATCCATGGCTTAAAATACTTTAAATTCATTGTATTTTAATTTTTTAAAACTAATCATACATTAAAAATAAGTAACAATTTACAGATTATTTAAGGGCACAAACATCAAATTAAAAAATAGCCGATTTTTACGAATTCATTTATATATATATATATATATAGACTATATATTCGTGAAATATTTCATTTTTCCTGCTTTCTTGCCGATGTTTCTTGCCATTTATTATCCAGTAAATGAATATTAAATAGAAGTTACGAAATTAAGCACTTTCCCAAGACATTCGGTGAGAACGGAATACAGTAACAATGAATATACGGATGAAAAATAAACTTAAATAGAACTAACAAATACATCAAGCTAGAGCAACAATGCGAATATCCTATCAAATATTAAAGCGAGCTCCACCCATTAATCAACTAACGGAAGATTATTATATTTTGGCATCAACAATGCTCTCTCGTCCTTCCTCTTGCTAAATCAAATTAGCGGGAAAATTATACATCTTCATAATTTGCACTAAACTGAAATCTAAATTAATATTTAAATTAAAACCTGTAAAAATTCAATTATTGAAATAGCTTTGATTCAAACTATTTTCGATCCATTGTTCCTAATAAAAAAAATTAAATTATTTCAAATTAAATTTTTGAATAGATAAATAATTATATGTAAAAAAAAATCAATTCCTTTTCCAATCCTAATGATCATCTCAATTTCAAAATTGTATGTTATAAAAACTATATAATTTTTAAATGATTAAATTAAATCCTAATAATAATAACTTAGAATAGTTTTTTATTAACAAATAAATGATTTTAAGAGTTGAAAAATTATATAGGAATATATAACAACAGAAAAAAAAAATCAATGTTTCCTCCACAATAACTGACATTTTCAACACAAGATAGTGATTATTATTCATTAAAACAGGTAAATTTCTATGATGATTAAATATGCATTTTGTTTAAAAATATCTAAACAATTTGTTTAATTTTCTATTTGTTATTGCACAAATCATTTGAATATATATAACTTGAAATAATAAATTAATATAAAGAAATAATTTATAAAAATAAATGCATATAAAAAATTTTAAAAGATTAGTTTTAATATTCATCTTACTAAATTGTGAAATGCACCAGTCTTGTTCAAAAATTTTCAGGAATGGGTCACAAAGTTAAAAGGTAATTTAATAATTTTGAAGAATGGCATATAAAGAAATTTATCATCCAGAGCTTCAATATTAATATACTTTTTCCAATTCAAAAAACATTCAGAGGGAGGGGAAAAAGTCAGTTTATTTCGAAAGATCAGAAAATTCTCTTCAATTCATCTTATACAAGTTCTGCTGATTCAAACTGTTTTCTTTTAAAGTTTTTAACTTTTCCCTTTAGCAAAAATTGGAAAAACTTTAAAAAAGGAAAATGGTTTGAGTCAACAGAACTCATACAAGAGAAACTGAAGAAAATGTTGCAATTCCTGAAAAAAGCTGACTTTTCTAAATGTTTCTAGATAGTAGAATTATTAAAGAAAGTGTACTGAAAAACAGGATGATTATTATTTTTTAAAAGTATTAAATAAATTTCTTTATATCCTATAATGTCTTGATATTTTTTTACTTATTCCTAGAAGTAATTGAACACACTATGTATTAACTATAAAGTTATATTAATATATTAATATGAATTATGTTTGTTTCATATTTCTTGTTAAAAATTACGAAAAAACATTTTTATATTTTGAGGCATTTATGTAATTTATTCCAATAATTTTAAGCATAAAAACATTCCTTAAAGAAGTCCATGAAAAACCTTTGAGATTAAATCTTATCATTAAATCTTTTGTTGAAAATTTTATCTCAAATGTTTCATGATCCTCTAAACTTTTAAATCTAAAAACAGTTCTAAATTAAATTTTTATAATTTATTACACAATAAATTTATTAAATCATGAATTATTTCTTGATTTTAAATATGATCTATCAATATTTAATAATATATACATTATAAAAACTGAAATATTTGTATAAAATATTTAGAAAATGCCTCCACTTTTTTTAGGAATTAAAGTAATTAAATAAATAAAATATATCTTAAAATAAAAATATTCTAATTATTATGAGAACAAAACATTTTCAACAAGTTCAATTACCATCTTCAGATTCTATTGTAATGCAATGCAATGCAAAAAAAAATTCAAAAAATATTTTTAAGTTTCTGATCTCAGAATAAGTAATAATATCAGTAATACAATGCTATTCAAGAGTTATAGTTATTAAATAATGAACATGGAAAAACTAAATGTATCTTTTGATATATTGTTGGAATTTTCTGGAAGATATATACAGCTCTTCCTTAATAGTCTGACAGGTATGGGACCAAAGGGGTGTTGGATTACCAAAAGTGTCCGAATTACCAAAAATAATTGCATATTTTGCATTGTTTTGCTAGCAGTAGCTTACAATATTCCCTACTCCAACTGTTCGAACAGTACTACTCACAGAAAACACACGAAATGTGTGTCATTGTGTAAGAATTAGATGGGGAGATTCACATCGCGACATGCTTCTGTGCAAGCAGACACGTAACAGGGACAGGTACCTTGACGGGAGATGCGTCGGACTACTGAGCACTTAATTTAATAAAGATTTATATCATTAATAAAAACAATCTGCATAGAATAAAACAGAAATTTATTTTATTAATAGAGTATGAGTGAATAATGATTAATTATGCCAGAAAAGTTTTACTTGGCATTAAAATGTTATCGAAACATCAAACGATGCATTGTTGTTTTATTAACAACACATTTTTCATTTAGTTTTACGTATTTATATATTTTTTCCAAAATAATAATGAAAAAATTACTCGATGGTTAAGATATTAAATAAAAAATTTATAACAATAATGTGATTATATACACTTCAATAATAAATTATTTCTTGAATAAACAAACATTCTATTTCTTAAATATGCTAGGTCTATAATAGTTAAATATTTTCTAGTTGATCATTTCTTTTATTTGTAAAATCTCAGTAGAATTTTAATATCAATATAAATATTCATAAACTGCTTACACAATCAATTGTGATCATTTTCTATTCATATGTAAAGTTGAGACAAAAAAATGCCTGCCTGTCAATCTGAAACACCAGGATTCAAACCCAACTTTGATATTAGGGATTCTGAGAAATCCATGTTAATCTAGCCCAGGTATATTCCATTTCCTAGAATCCAACAAACCTCAAATGCAAGGTTGGTTAAACCCATGAAGCAAACAGAAAACAAAAACCACTTGGTGCACTATAATTTTATTAACAATAAACTACTAAAGAAGTGTTTAGAATACTGTTTTTCTTAGCATCTTTTATTAATCTAATTCTGTTATATATCAAGATCTTAACTATTTCCTTTTGAATGATGTTCAGTTCTTTCTAAAATAATTCATTTGAAACTAACAATTTTTAAAATTTGTCATATTCTATAAATAATTATGATCTCTTTAAACAATTTTGTTTTTTAATTTTACTGTTATATGTCTTCTGCCTTAACACATTGCTGATCTGGCAAACAAATGTGTTAAGGTGCTGTTTCACCAGATTATGGGTTTGAATCTTGCTTTGGTCATAGATGTTTCTGTTTAATAAATTTTAATGAGGATTGCTGTTTGGCAGTCCTCTCTAAAGTTATTTTATGTAAAATTAACAAACTAAACCCTCAAATTCATTCTGTATTGATACAGTTTCTTATTACCAATCAAAGGATGTAAAAGATACTATCCATTTTCTAAAGAATATTGTGCATAGTAACAAAAAAAATATATTTTACAGGGTGATTATAATTAAGCAGGTATTTGGACCTCTGTAGAAAAAACTAATAGACCAAATGTAAACAAATTTTTGGTGTGCATACTTTCATAACAGTGCATTTTGATTTTGTAAATAAAAAAAGTTTAATTCCACAATTTCCAGATAGAAGAAATTTGAAATTTGATGCTAATTCAATGCAATTTGAATATTAGATATATTATCAAAGAAATTTAGATAATACAAAGAAGTTGAGACAAAGTGCAATAATTTTATTGCAATTTAGTATCGCAACTATAGGTTTTGAGTTGTAACTATCCATAAGTTACAATGTCATATATGATAATTTTACAGATTGTCAAATTGTACATTTATAAGTTACTTGAATATTTTTGAATCTGAATAACAGTTCTCCTATATGTGCCTTCCATCTACTTGATATAAAGCATACATTAAATGAACATACACTCAACATTCCATGTTGAGTGCATGTTCATTTAATGCATGCTATGAAAGTTCATTTAATCCATTGTTATGAAAGTACACACACCAAAAATTTGTATACATTTGGTCCTTGACATTGTCTGACATGTAGTGAAAGTCTGCCTTTTAAGTCAGTAAGTTAAAAAACATCACCCTGATAAACAAGGTTCTTCAATTACCCCCATAACCAAAAATCACAAAGGGTCTATTCTGATGATGATAGACATTCTGTTGGAAATGATTGGCTAATCATTCTTTAATTTGTGAAGTACTGATGCAATAACTTTTGCACATTAACACCAATATGAAGAAATGTTCCACCTTGTATTTTTGTGAATATCCTATCAAGATTGTGGTATCCAAATAATTTCATTGCTGAAGTGCAAGGATGAGTTTTGAATCATGTTTTCATATCTAGATGCATTGACAGAACATAATCACTGGCTCAGATGCAGTGTTTTCCTGGAAAAAACACAGTCTAATAAATAAAAAGAAACAGGAAGATAGAGGACATGTATTGCAGAACTATTAGTCTGATTTATTGGTTATTTATTTCCACATGCAATCTGACATATGTAAAATTACCTTACGTGACATTGTAACTTATGGAGAGTTACAACTCTCACAGAAGCTATAATTGCCAAACTAAAATGCACTAAAGTCATTGCTCTTTTTGTGTCAACTTCTCTGTATTGCCTGACAACCTATCTAATATTCAAATTGCACCAATATGAGTGCAAAATGTTTCCATCAGGAAATTTTGGAACTTTTTATTTGAAAAATCAAAATTCCATAGTTAAGAAAGTATGCACACCAAATCTGGTTGCAGTTAGTCCAGGCATGGCCAACATACGACGCGTCTAATGAATATATGTGGCCCATGATCAATCTTTCAATATTAGCTACTCAATTCCGAATAGCTCAATGAAAAATTCTGATAACTGAAAAAAAAGAAAAAAGGCCAACAACTCACTGTGTGTTTAGAGTTAACTCTCCATTACAAATCTCGTAAGTACAGCATAGAATGTTCATAAAGCATGATAATGTGAAAAATATATCTGTAATCTCTATGTACAATTTAGTCTTTATGGGGTGACACCATATTGAGATCTTGCACCACCTCAAAATCTTCCTAGGGTAGCCTCTGGTTTGGCCTGTGGAAAAAGTTTTCTTTCTAATTCGGCCCAAGGGCAAAAACTGTTGTCCACCCGAGTTAGTCCATTAGTTCTTTCTAAACGGAGCCTAAACACTTCCCATTTAATAATAATGACTGTGTGGATAAAGACTGATCTATAATGATTGTGTTTACACACACACACACACAAATTCAGAAATATTGATATATATAATTTAGAGATACATACATATCAAACATCTTCTAGGCACATGAAATTAGTGAATAAAAATAAAACACCCAAGTGAATGAACTATATTTTTGGTTCTGGCTTTGCATTAAATTTAAACTATATTTTTGAATGTTTAAATAGAATACTGCAGTTATGCATGATAAATTGTATTTTGAATTTGCAAATTTACTTACTCTAACAAAAACTGACTTTCCTCCTATTGAGTATCTACCTTCTGCTAATTGAACGACCTCATTTTTGTCTTTACCAATAGAACTTACAATTTGCATTACCTAAGAAAACAGAAAATAGTTAAAAATTATAAAATAAACTGTAAAAATAAATTTTACCAACCTTTTGGTCCAATTTGGATGGCTTGCGCTTTTTAGTATTTGCTGAATTTATCTTTTTTCCTGAGTCAGATTTATCGCCATTACTGATCCTCAAAGAGCTGCTGCTTTTTCTTATTACTGAGCAGGCAGCATCTGTTGAAGTATCTAATTGATCTGCTGAGCTGTCTAGTGGATAATCCGATGCATCCAATTGATCAGTAGAGCCATTAAGAGGATTGGCTGCACCATTCAAAGGATCAGATGATCCATCTAAACAGAATGATGACTCTGAAGTAGAACTGAGATCAGGAGAAAGACCATTTTCTTCCTGTTCTTCAATCTCCTTCTCTAGTTTTACTAACCCTGGTGGCTCCATTCCATATTTGGCAGCAATTCGTCCAAGTTCTAAAAGGCATAAGACCACAGCCCTAGTCTGTGTATGTAAAACTGAAATAATAAATAAATATAGTATTTTATTGTTCATAAAATTACTCTATAATATGGATGAATAAATGTCAAACAAATATTAAAATATTATAGACATTTGAATTTTCTATTGTAAAAAAAAAAAATGAAAAAATAACTTCTCATTTAATATAACTGTTTAACTTATATTTGCAGATCAAAGTCAATAATTAATTTACTTAAAATTTAACTGAAAAAAATTGAACAAATTTATTGAAAGTTCTAAAATGTTATTTTTATATTTATAACTTGATATCAGGACAAATGTGATCTTGAAAATATTTCAAAAGTAATGAATTAATAACTCATTAATAGCATATGACAAAACCTATATTTGATAATAAAGATGAACTTTAAATTCCATATTATCTGTAGAATTTGTTATTTTACAAAAGACTATCTTTATTCAATTAATATAATTTTTTAAAATTTAAATAAACTATTTTAATTTTAGGTTGCATGATTCAGTACTTCATTCTGGCCATTCTTTTTAAATTTTTAGAAGAATCTTTCATTCCTGCAATTAAGTAGGATGCTTCATTTGATTTGCTTGTATTATTTAATCAACTAATTTTAACATGTCCTGTTGAAGTGGCATACAACAGTATTGTATAGTTAAACTGTGATATTTCTACAGAAATTTAGGTAAATGTAATCACAATAATTTAGGTATGTAATTATTTAAATAGTATTTTATTACCATTGACTTATTTAACTGAATTTTTCCAAATAAATAACAAAATTCAAAATTTTTATCTAAAATAATAATTATTACAACAAATTAATCTAAATTAACTAGCAACTAAACATAAAAGCTATAGAACTTAATTATTTTTGTAAAATATTTGACTTACAGAAAATCTTGATATATTATTTTTGCTAATGTTATTTCATTTCCTTAAACCAGTAATTAAGAGCTATTATACAGCATCATTTATTATTAAGCTATATTACTATATTACTATAGATTCATTATAATTTATTAAAAATTTCTTAATTTGTATGTATAATTGATTTTAAATACTGCTTAAAATATCTTTCACATGGCTTTAATGTTGAACAGATCTTACTTTCTTCAGATAAAACTATTTTAAAAAGTAATAATAAAGTTTAATTTAATATGAAGAAGTAGTAAAAATTATTATAAATTACTATATTTTGTCCAGTTTTCTATAACATTTATAGAGAATATCAAAATTTATACTTATGCATATTTTTCTTTAAATTTTTAGAATTCATATTCTATTTGCTGATACTCATTTTTAATTTCACTTTAATTCTATAATATACAACTATAAATATAATACTAAAATATAAAAACTTGCAAACTCATTAGAAAGCAAAAATCATTTTACTTTACATCATTTAACTAATATAAATGCAATAAATTAAATCTAATTTATTAAAACATTTTAATCCTTTTCATTTTTAATAAAATTAATATTTTGTACACTTATAAAGCTATTACATATAATAAAAAAAGGAGTACTTTAATTATCAATTATAGTAAAATATTATTTTTTTTATTAGGTAGCATTTAATTCATTTAAAGGAGGAAACAATATGAAAAAAAATTCCATTATGAATAATGTATTATAATTTAGGAAACAATTCTTTAAATACCATTTATTAAACTGAATAACATTTTCTTGCTTCAGTACACAACAAAGTCTGTAGTGAATGTAGACAAATGTAATTGTTAATAGTAGAAAGGTTAAAATTCCACTATACTGAATGCAATGCAGCACTAAGATTAATTCAATATAAAAAGTATTATAATAATTTTCCATATTAAATAAAAATATATAATATGTTAGAAATATTTTACATCAATTTAAAATTTTAATTAAGTGTAACAAAACTTAATTGAATATGCATACATTTCAAATCACCACCACTCACATGTATTATATGATTAATCACTAAATACATTTAAAATATTCTTATCACAGGATAAAGTTATCTAAAAGACTAAACCAGCTTCATTCTATGTCATATTAAGAAAATAATCTACCATTACATGTAAGATTAATTTGAGTAGAGGGGGGAAAAATCAATTATTAATATATAGATAAATCAAATAAATTGCATAATACATCTGTATAATTACATGAATCAATATCTTTTAATTAAATATCGACTTTCCTTAACAATATAATTTATATCTAAAAATTACAGCTCATTTGTTTTTATTGCATAACATACTTTATTAGTTAGCTTATTTTCTAATGTAATATTAAGAAATTTTACACATCTATAGTAAATAAAAAAACATAAAATACTGTAATTACACAATACCTTGATATTAATTGAAAGTATCACTGCAATTTTTAAGATTAATCTGCTAAAGCACAACTTTTTAGCATTTATAACAACACACATTGCTTTTATGATGCACTACATTAATGTCTGTTTATTAATAATTCAGTGATAATTATTAATAAATAGCTTTTTTCAACTTTTTAAAAATGTTTTAAAAAAATTTACTTTATAATTATAATTACAAATTAACAAATAAGCCTGTCACATAACAAAATCAGTCAATGGAAGAATAGATTTCAGGTATGTAAAAAAAAATGTACTGCAGCCAATTAGTCAAAAGCAGATTAATATAAAAAATTTCATGTACATTAAATTTATCTACTGTATACATTTATATGATAATAGAATATCTGTTTTGACTTATGTTTATCAACATTATTATTAAATGATTTAATTATTTAATTTAGAAGAAACCAGCCAACTTGAAATATGTTAATTTTATTATTAAAAAAAAAAATCTGGCTGTGAAGCATATATTTTGAATTTAAAAAAATACAACTTGAAACTATTTTTAGCACATTATTGATTTATGGTTAATAACAAAAAAAATTTTTGATTATTTTTTTCCGGCAAATTATAATATGCCTGTTCTACATTATTTTTAAATTAATGCAAACTATTAGACTCTTCAACCAACAATAAATAGTAAAAGGTAATAAACTTTAAATTCAGATTGGTTCAGTTGTAATAACTTTAGAGCACATAATTAGGATTAATTAAAGTGTTGTTTCTAATGTTTGAAACACGAATTAAACGTAACTTGACCTTAGCTTTTTTTAATAATAAAAACTGGGACAAATGATTGCACGGTCCACTTAACAATAATCTTCTAAATGATAAAAAGAAATGAGAGACAATAATTATTGGTGTAGAACGAGGGGAAGAAATAAAAAACAAACATGCTACAAGAGGTGAGGAAACTATAATAAGTTACTTCTTACCAAGTCCATCCGATTCGAAAATTACAGCTTCATGAACTCCGAATTTTCGGCACCATTTCAAAAAATTTTCAGCGTTATCTCGGGCATAGAAAGATTTTGATTTGGCATTTTCCCAGCATTTAAACTTTACCGTAGGAACAATCTAAAAAAATTTTATATTTATTTATTTATTAATTTTAAATATTAGCAAAGCAAAAATTTTTTTGTTTTTACTTCTAAAATTAGTTGTGCCTTTAAGCAACGCAGAGATTGAGTTTCGCAACAGTAAACAGGCATCATTATTGTTAATTTAAATACACAATAAACATGTGCATTGAAAGTTTGAACTAATTAACCAATTAGATCCACGACAAATTTCAAATTAACCAATTACAAATGGTTTAAATTACAAAACTAATTAAAGAGTGAAGCAAATTTAATATTTTAAACACAATTAACTTAATAAATTATATTTACAGAATATATAAATTTACTAATAACAAAGAAATTTTAAATTGAAAATTAACCAATCAAACAGATTTTAAAATTTAAAACATTTATGTGGCTCCATCTGGTGTCATTAAAAACAAGTATAAACTTACATCGTATTTACAAAAGTATCGTTTCATCATTGAAATATTTTAAATTTTAACTATTAAAATACAATTTATCTAAATAATAACATATTAAATATATAATGAAACTTATATAGGTATTTAATAAATTATGTATAAATTTTTAGATAATTACACCGACCAATAAGCACTTAATATTGCGAAAACGTTCGACCAATAGGAAGAAACTGTTTGTTTTTTAAATTCGAATCTTTGTTGTTTCAATTGTATTCGCAAGAATGATTTTCTCAGTCGAAAAATAGCATTAAAAACAACGAAAAATTACTATTTTTTATATTACCTCATCAGTTAACCCATTCTTCCTATATTCTTCCGCTCTTTTTTGAATAAGCTGAGCTAAATGGCACACTATCACTCCATTATCAAGTTTATAGAGGAAGTTGTCGGCTGTAATTTCTTCGATTTCTGCAGGAAAAGTTATCGAAAAATTGTTAACAACAAAGAATGAAACACGTATAAAATTGGTTCTTACCTACCTAATGTTTTATTTAACCATTCTGCCAGGTCTTCTTTTAATGGGATCAGATGTTGTTCCTGTTTCAGTGCTATTTTCTTCTGTAAATCTTCTTCGGTGCAATCCGGTGAGAAGTCGACATTTTTCTGCCAAGAAGCTGCCATTTTCCTTTGCAAATAAATTATTTTCTGACTTTACTGCATCCCTAACTTAACACAGACCACCTTAACGATAGAAAAAACGGTTAAATCTGCGAAACATATTTTTCGTATAAAAACACGCACGATGTACTCCAGGTTAGAAAATTACGTGAACGAGAACGTTATCGAAGATGCGTGAAAATTCGAAATTTTAGAATTTTATTTTATTTTTTATTTATTTTTTTCACGTATTAATCCATGAGCAGGAAATAAGTTGACTCAGATATTTAATTAAATAATAATAATAATAATAAATAAAGACAATAAACAAGCTTTCAAGGGCAATATGATTCTATTATAGGAATTATAGACTGACCTTAATATAATTGTCTGGGAACGGAGACTTGCAAATTTAATATAAAATTTAAAAAAGAAAATAATAGGAGAATATAAACTTTAGTAAAATATAATAGAAAAATAAACTGAAATGAATCATATATAGTATAAAGTTACAACTATATTTAGTGTATAAATAATCTTTAAATNTTAAGTTTATTTTTAATATATATATATATATAACATTTTCTTGTTTAAAAAATTGTTTAAATGTAAGTATATTTGTTTGTTTATTTTTATATATAGAATATATATCAGGAAATTGTTTACTAATAATTATATATACAAACGAAAATAGATATTTATAAAAATTCTATTTCTCAGAAACGAAAATGAAAAATTTTAAATCTGCAAGTGCGAAAAGTTTTTAAATAAAAATCTCAATGACACTTTATTAGTATGATTTTGTAGTCAGTAAAAAAAATAAAAAAATATGAAAACATTTCGAAGAAAATGTATTAATTTTTCTAGGAAATTTTATGTTGAAACGTATAAAATATTGCAGAAAATCTTCAGAATATTTATTATTAAAGAAACGAAAGCGCGAAATTATATATTAAGAAGACATCACTTATATTTTCCGATTTTATAAACCATTATAAGTTTATTTAAAAGCTTAATTCTAAAAATAAATTAAGCGCAATTTAACAAACAAGAACCAGTTTGAAACCAGTTAGTGTATTTTCTCCTGTTAAAAGAGAGAAGGGGGGAAACGCACGGAAAAAATTCATTAAAAATCTTTTTGTGTAGTTTAATATGAAATTTTCGGTGGTACCGCATCTACGTTTCTTCACTCTCCCCGTAAACAACGATAGACTCTTCCATATCTAACACATGTTATTTCACTTGCAAAGATCGGAGTGAAAAGCAGGCAGCAGTTGTATTTTAAGTGTGGCATCCATTTTGTTGCCCAGCTATGGATAGAGACATTAAGAAGGTGAGCGAAAACGCATCTTTATCTCTTAACCGAGGTGGATGCGATTTTTATGAGAGTTAGTATTATTTGAACATTGTTGGGAGTGAAGGATCTTCTTTTTATCATTTCGATTTTATGATTATCACACATCCTTTCGCATGTTTAGATAGTAAATGTGACGTTGTTAGGGGGATATTTTGTGTAGTTTGGTGTATTGATCTGTACGGCATCTAGGTTAGAAGCTTCTCATTCTGTCTCTGCATTCTACGTGTGTTTGAATCATCTCGAGGATTTTCGCTAGATTTTTACACTGGTTGCTCAGGTATGTAATTTTTATGTGTTTATCTCTTCACAAATATTTTCTTCATCATTTCTCGTCATTTAAGTTGTGAACAACATTAAAACGTGTTTCGAATAAATTATTTAGCGTTGTGTTCTAAGCATTTATATCCTTAATATATATACTTTATAGGATAAATATCGATCCATTTTATTACTCGTAAATTTAAATCTTTTTTTTTTTTTCTTTTAATGTTCTATCGCTAGACAATATTGAAATTAAAGATTTAGTTAAAGATATCTTTTATAAAACCTAAACTGGAAGAAAATTTAATTATATAAATTACTTTTATTTATAAAATAAGTATTTGTATATCTATAAAAATTGATCTTAATGACAGACAAATACTAAAATATAATCCAAATAAAGATACATTTAGAGTCGAAAATTTTGATTGTGAAACATGATTATTGAGGATATATTGTGTTATATAAACTGCGATATTTTTTTCCTCTCTTTTCTGTGTAAAATGCACAGGGAACGACGGATAAAATGATTGAAATGTCCTTGACGTCATCGACTGGGCTGATCAATTATAGAAAATCTGTAAGATAAGCCATCCATGAATATTTTATTGACGAAAGCTAGTTACAGGGGTATATAAAAGTAGCCAGCTAAGTAAAGAATATTATAATTAGTATTCCTAAATTAATTAATATTACAACGAATTTTTACTTATCTGGCGTGACGTCATTAGGGATGCATGATTATTACAATGTATAATTCTGTGGTTGTTGCACGTTTCACGTTACGAAAATTTCACACGCGATTTTAACATTGACCTTATATTTTTCATTTTAAAGAATTTCACGTATTATTATAGTGTTTTCTCGAGGTTAAACGTTACGTTTTATCCCTACCGTGACGTCATAAGCGAACGTTCCGCGTGTTGTCTTAGCAGACGAAATTATTTTTCTTTTTCTCCGCCATCTTTACGTGTCATCCAGGTAATATTTTTATACATTATTTTATCAATTAAAATTAACTAAATGGTAATTTTCACTGAGTTATATATGCCGTATAAACGCCTTTACGAAGATGCAATTGAATGAAGCATTCTCGTGTTACAATGTCAATCAAACTTATGCTTATTTGAAAAAAAAAATATACAGAATATCTATAAATAATCTGTTAATTGATTATATTTAATGGCATAATACGATATTAGTAAGTGCTTATACCTTGTATATTAGATTTATAATTAAAAAGTTCACGATGTACATCTACTATTATAATAAAAAATCGTGTAAAATATCCGTATAATGTTTCTGGATCAAAATATAACGATACTAATAAATATTTTTTTTAAAATCTAATGTAAAATTTAATAAAAAATTGCTTTAAAAAATTAAAATTTGTCGTTAAAACTGCGTAGAAAACATTTATAATTAATATTATATACACTCAATTCTTTTATTAGTTATGTTACAAATATAGTGTTGCTTTTAGTATGAGTAAAAATAGAACGATTGTGTGTTTTAGTAAGCCAATATGGTCCAACCACCGTCCCCAACGATAGCTTATTTGCTTTGTCACGTTCTTATTCAAAAATTTATATTCGATTTTATATTTTAATAACATTTTTTCCCTCAATTTGTTTTTGTTTACTCTTTTTCTCTTTGTTAAAATAAGAATCAGTAAATTTCTTGGTCCCGACTCTTCGTTAAAAATGATACTTGATCCGAAGACCTGGAAAAAAAATCAACAAATACTGATACATAAGAAAAATTTATATAAATAAACTACAACACTTAATTTATTTATGATTTTAGTTTAAAAAAAGGGAGAGAGAGAGAAGTGAAAAAAAGGAAACTTTAGCGTTAAAAATAAAAGAACTTTATATAAATTATCGTGTTCTTAGTAGTTACAGACGTGTAAATTTTGCATAATAATGTAATGCAATATATAACATCACAATTTAGACATTTAATAAATTGAGTTATAAATATATAAATATATTGTATGTACTGTACGTCTAATATAAAGCACAGTATTATCTGTATAATTTATTTATGACGTAAAGACTTCATTATTACTTTCGTATATTACAGACTAACATCGTTATGAAATACAATTTGCTTATTGTACAGTACATAATATAGTCACTTTTTTATTTATTATTTATTATATACCTAATAAGTTAAGGTTTATAATAAATAATGGGTATAAATTTAAAATTACACTATAATAAAAAGGCACTTTTTCTACCTTTGCTTTAATGTTATGCAAGAATGTTTCCACTAACAATATAACAACTAAATGCATCTAAGTGATGAATTGCATATAGGCCTACAGGCTAGTGCTTATAATTAAAACATAGAAACATTTTAATACGGAAATATATGTACGGATATTTAAATATATAAGGATAAAGTAGGCTACAATTTATTTATTTTTTATTTCTTTATATAAACAAGATATAAAATATATATTTTGTAGATACTTATTGCTCACAATGTTAATATGTAAACTGGAAAATATATAATAAATGTTAATTGTTTAACTCAATATTTATTCCTTTTTTTAAACTGTATTTAAAGAGTAAATTCTATTAACTCAAATATTAGTTAATTAATAACATAGAAAATATTGTATTTAAATATCTGATAAAAAGATAACTTATGAATATATTATAATCATGTTTTAGAACAACGTGAATTTATATTTAAGAATTAAAAAATGTATTTCAAGCATAAAATATAAACATATTTCTAAATATTTTTTAAAGAATGTACTTACAAAATGTATAAATACCGAAATGTAGTTTAAACATATACGTGTGTGTTTGTACTGTACGTACTATATATATATATATATATATATAACATTCTCCAATCTTGATTATAATTCTCGTCATCGGTAAGTGTATTTCTTAAGATTTTAAACTCATTATTTTTATTAAATTAATTCAAAGTGGAAAATTCTTCTGTCAATCTCACAACCTTTGACCTTTAAAAGCTGCATATTCCTGTCTGGAGAAGACTTTTTCGATTTTAATCTTGGAAAACACTCTAAGAATATAATGATTTATGCTTTTAAAATTTTCATTTATTTTTCCCTCTAAAACTTTTTGTATATTTTTAATGACTTTGTTATTTAACATAATTTAAAAGTATATACTTTGTTTAAATATATATTAAGTTTTTTAAATTGTATATTTAATTAACATTTAAAGTTAATTAATCGATGTTAGTTATCTGCGGAAATTTTAAAGCGATTAATGATATTTCGATACGAGTAGTTTGTACATGAGTATAATAAATGACTTCATTCAGATTAAATGTTATAGAAATACGTGCCTAAATAATACTCTATTATATAAAATTTTCAATAAAATGTAATGTAATTGTTGAAAATCATCCCTTTAAACTTTTATTAAGATAAAATCAGATTTATCTCAAGGACAGCGACAGTCATTATTTTTAAAAAACTAGAGCAAGTTATTTGGGAAATCGTAATGACTATCCGGTTTTCTTACAATCCAGTTTTTCTTCTCTTGTTTTTTCTATAGTGTAGATATCAATAAAATATATTGGATGTTTTGATATAAATTTCTCTATTTATTATAAACAATTTCGTTTGTAATATGTTGATTAATCGATAAAATAATTTATATCTATCAATGTCAGTTTATAAGAAATTATAAAACTACAGACCATTTCAGTGTTCAATATCATGATTTTATGAAAGTTTACTAATATATGTTAAAATATAATACATTTCTGTATGTTGAAATGTGTTTTTTTTCTTTATTATTGATAGATTAGAAGATGAACAGCCTTATTATGTCAGCTGCCCAGATCCTATTTTCATTCGGAAGTTATAACTGAACGTTTATCAGGTTATGGATGAAGAAGAGAAAGTAGAAGTACCCAAGTATTTACGAAACATTCCACCAAATACCATTAATCATCCTATAGACAGGAATATCGCTTGGAGTTTTGTGTTATCCGTCATATTCGTGGCTGTGGCTATTGTCACTGGTTTTCCTATCGTTGGTTTAATGATTGTACTCTTACCACTAGCAGTTATAGCTAGGCAAACTACGTTCAAGTTGTGCACTTGTAAGAAAGGTACGTGTAACGGTCAGAAATTAAAGCTTGTCTCTCCTGCCGATACATTCTGGTTACACGATTCAGACTTTAATCGGTATATTGGACACTGCTTATTCTTTTTCGATTCAGAGTTGACAGTTTCTAGGATGAGGGATATCGTTCTGGTTCGTGTTTTAAACAGAAGAAAGGATGACGGACAGAAAGCATTTCCGCGTTTTACTCAAAGGATCTTAAGACTTTCGGCAGGCTACTGTTGGTGTGAGGATAATGATTTCAATGTTGAGAATCATATCTATGAAGATGACGTTAAGGTACGCACAAAAAAGCAATTGAGAATACGTCTGAGTCAGCTGATGATGGAACCTTTGCCATCTCATCGTCCATTATGGGAAATCAGACTGGTGAGGGATTATGGTGGAAATTCCGATACGGTATTGATCGTTAGAGTGCATCAGGCAGTTAGTGATGGAATTTCGTTGATTAAAATTCTCACCAATTGTCTGTCGGATACGCAACAGCCTATCAGGATGAAACCAAGATTCGGTGGAACTACATTTCCTCTTAATGTATTTAGAGCGCTTGTCGTGGGTCCATTGACTTTTATAATGTGGTTAATTTTTACCAAGAGGGACTATAATTTTTTCTCTCGTGGAGAGCCTTGTTCTAAACGTCGCGTCGTTGCCTGGTCTAGGGATATCCGCCTTTCGAAAGTATTACGAATTAAACAAGTTACTAGAAGTTGCCTGAATGATATACTCCTGACAGCCACAACCGGTGCAGTCAGGGAGTATTGCAGGAAACATGGGCCTTGCAACCCACCAGATGTGACTGTAAGTAATTTTTCTATTATTTTCTCATTAAATTATAACAATGTGACAAGATAAATGTAAGAACAAATCTCGTTACAAGATAAAATAGACTTGAAAATAGAGTTTGCTGAGTGGTGGTATTTTTTTGTTTTGTTTTGTTTGTTTTTTTCCATACCTTTCTTTTTAACATAATTGGCTTGAAAAATCTTAATTTGACAATAACATCCCAACATGAAAAAAAATCTGGATTGTTTCCAATACTGCTCTTACGTCAGGTTTGTAACGTGGCCTCTAAAACACTTTTTCTTTCCTTAAATACTTCTGTAGTTCATTCTTTAAAATTCTTTTTTGCTTAAAGATTATTTAGGTTAATGCTCCTCTTAAAAGTGCTAAAAATTATTCTTAGTCGTACATAATTTTGTAATTTATATTTGTAAATATCAATTCTTTAAATTATTTGCATTGCATAAAAACTATTTCGGATTGATTAAGCAGAACAAAATGAATTCATCGGCATATTTAAAATGTCCTTGAGTTTTCTTTTGCCTTATACTCATTATAATTCTTTAAGGAATTAATCAAAGGAAAAAAATCATTTAATATCTTTATAAATTATCTTCAAATATTACTTTCTTTGTCATTACATGACATTTTCGATCATAACAACCCATCATCTTAATTACACTATTGTAATGAACACTTAAAAACTTTGCCTCTTATTGTTTCATTATTGCTGTGTTCCAAGTTACCAAATATTTTTGTTAGACTCCTGTTGTTTTTCATCTCTATCTATTTTCCTGTTTCCTGATAGACGGTAGATAAAGCTAAAATAAACGGTCTCCTGCTAACCACCGGTGCACGGTAACATGAAAATTCATCAGTTTAAAATTCTTCAAGGTTAGACAGCAAGTTACAAAACTATGATAATCCGAATCGCATAGTTCTCATTGTATTTATTATTATTTTTTTAAAAATTTATTCTAGGTAAGCTTGCCAGTCGATCTGAGTTACGAACCTTCAGCTGTAGAGTCTATACCAGAGATGGGAAATAAAATTGCTATAGTAAATACCTGTTTACCTACAAACAAAGAAGGTGTCATACCACGCTTATGGGAAGTACGTCATTATATGGAAGAACTAAAAACGTCTGCTGATCCTGTTGTTATGTATGGGGCTATATATTTTCTCATAAAGTTATTACCGCACGTTTTATCCCATTGGTTACTAGGTCTTATAAGTAGGAAAGCTACTGTTAACTATTGTAATTTGCCCGGTCCTAGTGAGTTTATCGTTTTAGGATCAAGAAAATTAAAGAAATTCTATTACTGGATGGCTTGTAATCCTAATGTACCAGTTTCATTTTCATTATTAACTTATGGTGGAAATTTAACTGTTGCTGTGTCTGCTGATCAAACTATCGTCACCACGCCCAAGGACCTTATTAAGAATTTCATCGCTGAGGTAAAACATATTTAAGTTTCAAATTTATATTACTTAATAATAAAAGTTATTAGACAAATTTATAACATGTGTATTTCAAATAATGAAATTTTTTAAAATCTATTTAGAATTTAGAATATTTTAATATTCTAAATTCTAAATTTAGAATATTATAATATTAAAATATTATAAAAACACAGAATTGAGATATTACTCTACTAGATTTAAAATGGAAAATTAATAACAAATATAGCTAATAACAGCTCTGTTACTAATACATTTGTTTATATTTATCAAATATAATCTTACTAAATCTATTGTTCTTTTTGAATTAGATGTTTAATTAATTCATTTTATTTATTGATATAGATTGTATGTATGTATTCGTTTTCATATTTGAATAAAAATTTACTAGTAAAACAGAAATTCATAAATGAAAAATGATGTTATAGATATTTTGATTCTTTATTCTGCTGATGTATTGATCTGATTTTATTATAACGCATATATTATACGTAGATCTGACATATTTGATCATATCATGAATTTCGTGATATAATTTTTTAACTATTAATTATGAGTTTAATGACGTAATGACTTTATTGGCTTTATAATATAATAATCATCATAATACCTAATTCCATTTAATTATTTGTTAATTGATGAATTAAAAGATCCGATTTTTTTTGTCGGATAGCTCTCATATAACAACTCTACATAAGGCAACATTCATTATTCTATATTCGAATTAACAAAATCGATTTAAATAAATAAAATTAATTTCTTTTTTTAAAATATTTAATATTAATTATTCATAACAAATAAGAAAACTGTGATTAAATTGACTATCGTATTAAAAATATGCACTTTTATTTATAGATATTGATATTATAGATCATAAAAAGGGATATTTTCTTTAATATAAAAAATAAATTCTATTTTATTTTTAAATTGAATTAAAAATGTCTTCATTTAACTATCTTCTAGATTATTTCTTGAATTTATAGAACTAAATTATTTCTAGATCCAAAGGAAAAAGATATGTATCTATTTATTTTAGTGTTAAAACAAGAATTCCCTTTTTAATAAAGTAGTTCCATAAAGGATTAACATTACCAATTTTTTAATGTAAAGATATATAATTCAGTCTTTGTTTTTTAATTAACATGATCCATTGTTCTGTGAGATGTAGGAACTGATAATATGTGAATTCCATGTTAAATACTCTTTTATTTTTAATGATTTTCGTTTCTTGTTTACAATGTATCAACATAAGATATATTGATACGGTTTAATATGAATTTCTTTTTAATTTTCTACTATAATATTTTTATAAAATGCATTTTATTTGTACAGTCGCATTCTCCAGTTTTATCGTATTTCTTGATAATTTTATTTAATCGTCACTTTAAAATATAAAATTAGTAATTAAATTATAATTAATCGCATGGACGAGAAGTCTTTAATGCGTGCACGTTCAAATATGGGGTCAATAACTAGTACAAGGCTATCGTCAGGGGCTTTCCGATTACTCACGCAGATCACGAACTTATACTATTTACCATATCCGTGTCATCACCTACCTGTTTAGAATCGATTTATAAACGTAATTCCTCTCTCTATCCGAGAAAAATAAGAAAAAAGAATTGCATAACATTAATCTAACCTAAATTCTAAAATTATATAGTAAGTTTTTGTTTTTCTGCAGATCAATAAATTGGCTCATTTACTAGCAAAAAGGAGAATACCAGGTGAACAACGTAGAAGGAGCAGCTATACATCAGAAAGGAGGCAAGAAGAGATTATAAAACCCCCCATGCAACAAGTAAGATCTGGCCTGAGTAAGATAGTTATTTCTTCTATTTTAATTAGAAATACATTAACTGTAAAAAATTATTTGAATTATAATTTTACGATAAAATTTTTCTATCATATTTAAAGATTTTTAAATAAATTTTTCATAAACACTATACACTTTGCATAATTTATTAGTAATATACAAAATTATTATTATTATTAGTGATGGTAGTAGTAGTAGTATTTAAATAATTTTTCGTGCTTTATTTCTATGAATGAATATAGTACAATAGCAATTGACATTAAAGTTTCAAATAGACTTCTGAATGTTTTTTTCGAAAACCTCACGCACATTATATATTAAACATGGCATAGTTCCTTTATAAATAATAACAGTAATAATGCCATTNAGAATTTATTTAATTAAGAGTTTGCACGCTTTTTACATAATTAATTGTATTTTTACCGAATGAAACTAATTATCATAGTTATTTTTAAATTTAAAAAAAAATTTAATCGATTTTTAAAATAAATTTTACATTATTATTATATTTTTCACTTATTTCTATATTAATAGTATTTATATATATATATATATATATATGTATGTATATATTAGTTACAGCAAAAACTACATTTGGTACAAGAGGAGCTTCACGAAGTGGGACAGAAATTCGAAATGCTCAATCGCTTAGATAGCAGCGTGATAATTGAATATAAAGGGGTGCCAATATCTCGTTCTGCCCTCTATTGGAAATTAGAAGAATTAAAAGAAGAATTTTCTGAATTATTGGCAGAAATGAGAAGAAGAAAATCTCTAGCTGATGGAATTATTATTAACATAGAAGTAAGGAATTTCTTTCAACGTTTATTTTCATATTATTTTAATATATATGTATTTTTTTTATATTTATATATGGTATGAATAAATATTAAAATATTTGCTATTACGATTAATGAGAAATCTTTTCAATGTTAAGCAAACGTCTGCGATATGCAGGTTAATAATGTTATTTACACTAACTATAAATTTATAATTAATTAATATAATTTCCTTTAATAATGATGAACATTATACGAACTTATATAATATATAATAATTGTATCGCTGTATACAACGATAATAACTAAAAATGGTTTTATAGATTTATCTATATTCTTAGATCTATCGAAACTTTTGTTATATGAAAGTTTTATTCGATTTTATGTTATACATTTAAATAGTTTATAACAACAAAAATTGCAAATGTAGGCTATTAAAATAGTATTAATTTGTTATAATAACGGATATAGCCTATATATAATGCATATATATATTTTTTTTGCGTTCATATTTAAATAAATATTGATATTAAAACTATTTTATAGAGATAATTCCAGAATAATTTGAAAATTAAAAGAATATAAGATAAGCCAACAAGTTATTTTACTTGTTACAATTGTACAAAAGACAATGTACGTCTTCTATTGATATTTAAATAGAATTATATAATACACATAATGATTCTTTAACACCCTTTTTTACAACTAAAAATGATCATCGTAAAAAATATATTAATTGGGATGCAATTTGAAAAAATTGTAGATCTATAAATTTTTACTGTCGTCCGTCTGTCTGTCTTTCCTTAATCTCCAGAACGGAGTTAGATAGATGACTCTATTATTAAAGGAAAAGTATGATGTACAGGGGTAAGATACTACTAATTTGAGAAGTAAAAAGCACATACAGTATTACAAATTAAATAAATTAAAAATTTCAGCTCTGCATTGTGACGATGTCACAATAAATAATTGCTCGTTAAAATACAGACGGTTCTTTCGTGTTTCGACACTAAAAAAAAACTATTAATAGTCTATAAGTTTATATATACGAGCAATTACTTATTGTAACAATGCGGGACTACAATTTTTAATCTTAATTTAATTTTAAAAATCACGTGACTTCCGGTCTAGATCGGACGTTCGTATTAAATGTTAACAAATGATTCGCTAATTTTGTAACATTTGTAATAACCTTGTAGACTTATATATAAGCTAATACTCTTGGTGTTTTATATAAAATCATTACAATAGGTTTTAAAAAGTATAATTCCTTTAGAAATATTCGATTATTGTTAGTTCAATAAAAATATTACGCAAAGATCTTACGATTCTGAAGGATAGTTTTGCCGTTTCTACTGAATTTAATACTGCAAATCCATTAATAGCAATTTAGATTTAAAAATGATTTCCAATAAAAGAAACACAATTTATAAAATATATTTTATTGGTTATTATTGCATTATATAATAATTATTTTAAAAACATATTAATAAAGAGTATTTCATTCCGGTACGCTATTTAAATTCCATTTACAATCGCATTACTTGTATGGCATCATTCCGTCTGCAAAAATTTAATTATCGCGGTGATTTGCTTTTTTATTTCCTGGACGAAAATTTACGAATTAATCGATTATCGATTTCGCAATTAATTTCAATTAAATTCCGAATTCATTCAAAACAAATTTAGTAATTAACACGAAATGTCATTTTACGTCACCGATGACGCCAGTAAAAGTGCATCATTTATTTCTATGGATATTTTTGGAAATGATATTATAGTAAATAATTGATTTCCATTCTGTCGTAAATCTTTCAGAGATGTACTGTTGCCGTTTATATTTTATTTATGATTCAAAATTCCTTTTCCAATATACATTTATCTGATGTTAGACAAACCGTCTACCACTTTGTCATCCAGTATCAAATAAAGCTAGGTATTTCATATATGGTTAACATCATATTGGTCTATAAGTTACTTGCATTATCTTTATAACATTTTTATTCCCTTTTTTTAATGCCTAAAATTTTTTTTTGATGGAATGAAAGTAAATTTCGTTTAATTTAAAATGATTAATTTTAATAATGATTTCTATAAATTTAGGATGAAGATTTGGACGGGGAAGTTAGAAGGCCAAGAAGAAGGGCCTTATCTACATCTGGAAGGAGAGCAAGTTTCTCTACAATAGCATCAACAGTATCGACAGCTAGACCATTAACCACTCCTACCATGACTCATCACAGTTCATTTCTGTCACCATCCCGACTAGATATTAATTATTCACCAAATAATCAACACAGAAATGCACAGGTGCGTATCTCAATTAAATATTCTAGTACGTAAATACAAAAGCAATGATTGCGAATCCCTCTTCGTTAATGAGACTGAAATGGAATTTTGTAGAAAATCACGATTCTGTTGTTACCAGTGTTAATTGTTTTATTTTTTTTCCTTCTTTCCTAGGGAAGAATGGCACGAAGAGCTTCTGAAAATCTGAATAGAGAAAGAATATATTGATTTACGTATAAATTCGAATACATTGCAGGTTTTATTGTAAGTAAACGTTTTAAAAAAGCAAAGCGAAATTGTTTTAAATAATTATGCATTAAATAATTGCTATAATTATCATCATTTCGAATATTCTTATGCCAATGTATTTATTTGGCAAGTCATTGTAATTTATTATACTGTAAAATATCGTGTATAAGATTCGTTGGAGAGTATCAATTCCGAATTGATCACCTTCCTATCGTTATTTTAATTAATAGTTGAATTGTTAATCTTTACCTGTATATATACAGTAAATATAGTTGTACGTATTTTATTCTTTTTCTATTAGGTAGCAAAGTAATTTAGTATAAAAGTAATTGGGTTGGAAATTCATTATGCATATTTATTAATTTTGGAATAAAAAAAATATTTATGAATTTTTAGTGTTTTCTGTAAATTGAAAATATAGACTAATCTGTACAAATGTATACAAGTAATTTTGATTTACTGCACACACAATGGTAAACTAATAAAATATTGAATTTATTGCACCTAATAAAATATTGAATTTATTGCACCTAATAAAATATTGAATTTAAATATGATGGATTTAGTTATATACGTTACATATAAATAAATATATATATATTATGGGAACTTGTAAACCAGTACGTAAATTTTAATTTCAGTAAGATAGTTAAGGAACAGAATATTTTTCAATAAAACTTTACTGGTAAACAATAATGTAATTTTGTTTTGTTGTTAAGATATTTTCAATGAAATGTTTTTAAGCAATGAATTTCTGAAGAAAAAGTGATCTTCATATTTTGCCTTCCAAATATCACTCTGTTTTAATAATTGTATGACAATTATAGAATAAAATTTTGTTCCTAAAAGTAATCACAAATACATTGATACGTTATTGAACACATTATTTAAAATATTTACAATAACACTACATACTTGAAATAGTAGATAATGAAGAAAAAAAGTTAGTTAAAATTGGAGAAAAGGTTTTCTTTTTATATACCAATAAACAGCCTTAATAACAAACTTTTAAAGGAAAATAATTTTAAAAATGTTTATGCTCGTGAGAGCTAGAGTTAGTTTGTAAGCCTGTTAACTTTACCCTTCTTATTCTAAGATTTATTACTTCTGTACTGTACAGTACATCACAGCAGCCAGGCCAAAACTCATGAAATATTCTTTGTATTATATATACAAAATATACATAAAGATATTTAAATTCTTAATAATCTATTATTAAGAAAGAAGATTATAAAAGTTTGAATCATTTATCAAAAACTAAAAAAAATACACTAATATTTTTTATTTGATAAATTTATTGATTTTAATCATATAAACATATTTTTAAGTTCAATACATATTTAGTTCATTATTTTCTTTATTTCTTTTTATACAAGAGATGAGCAAATCTTTACAAGTTACAAATCAAACAGTTTAACAAAGTATTTGATATTCTATACATAAGGAAATAGCATTCAAATATATACATAGTTTATAGAGAATAAATAAATGTGAACCTAGCCATTATCAATATGGATTATTTTAACTTGGTAACCAAATATCTTAACTGTTCATAATTTCTCATACTTTGAATTTTTTTCCATATATTTGATACTGTTTCCCCATATGAAATGGGTAAAAATTTTTAGAAAAATTAAAGTTACACGTAACAGAAAAGAAGATTAATTCAGCATTGTATGTCTGTCATAGATATTTCGGCGCTGTTCTTGCACTTGCCGCTTCCATCTATCTTGCTGCTGGCCGACTCTGTTCAAAACATTTGTACTTGAAGTACGTGGTCGCTGCATAGCTGCTATTGGCTCATCCTATCAAAGAAACAAGTGAAAAAATTTAACAAAACATACAAGTAAATGTACCAAAAATTTATGAAAGTGTTCATAACAAACATTACAAAACACTGAATTCAATATTTAGTTAATCAGATTTTCAAGATAAAAGAAGTTACCAGATTAACTTCTTCATTTGTATGCTCTTCATAAGTGGTACTGCGTTTGTTAAGCAGAGGATCCAAGCACATTAGAAACAGCATATATACAACCAAAAGAGAAATCACCCAAATGATCAAAATAACTACAACCTAAAATAAAATGTTTAAAAATTGTTTTAGTTTTGAAAATTATAACTAAAAAGATTAATGTGTAAAAATATACAAAATTNTAAATTAATTCAAAGTGGAAAATTCTTCTGTCAATCTCACAACCTTTGACCTTTAAAAGCTGCATATTCCTGTCTGGAGAAGACTTTTTCGATTTTAATCTTGGAAAACACTCTAAGAATATAATGATTTATGCTTTTAAAATTTTCATTTATTTTTCCCTCTAAAACTTTTTGTATATTTTTAATGACTTTGTTATTTAACATAATTTAAAAGTATATACTTTGTTTAAATATATATTAAGTTTTTTAAATTGTATATTTAATTAACATTTAAAGTTAATTAATCGATGTTAGTTATCTGCGGAAATTTTAAAGCGATTAATGATATTTCGATACGAGTAGTTTGTACATGAGTATAATAAATGACTTCATTCAGATTAAATGTTATAGAAATACGTGCCTAAATAATACTCTATTATATAAAATTTTCAATAAAATGTAATGTAATTGTTGAAAATCATCCCTTTAAACTTTTATTAAGATAAAATCAGATTTATCTCAAGGACAGCGACAGTCATTATTTTTAAAAAACTAGAGCAAGTTATTTGGGAAATCGTAATGACTATCCGGTTTTCTTACAATCCAGTTTTTCTTCTCTTGTTTTTTCTATAGTGTAGATATCAATAAAATATATTGGATGTTTTGATATAAATTTCTCTATTTATTATAAACAATTTCGTTTGTAATATGTTGATTAATCGATAAAATAATTTATATCTATCAATGTCAGTTTATAAGAAATTATAAAACTACAGACCATTTCAGTGTTCAATATCATGATTTTATGAAAGTTTACTAATATATGTTAAAATATAATACATTTCTGTATGTTGAAATGTGTTTTTTTTCTTTATTATTGATAGATTAGAAGATGAACAGCCTTATTATGTCAGCTGCCCAGATCCTATTTTCATTCGGAAGTTATAACTGAACGTTTATCAGGTTATGGATGAAGAAGAGAAAGTAGAAGTACCCAAGTATTTACGAAACATTCCACCAAATACCATTAATCATCCTATAGACAGGAATATCGCTTGGAGTTTTGTGTTATCCGTCATATTCGTGGCTGTGGCTATTGTCACTGGTTTTCCTATCGTTGGTTTAATGATTGTACTCTTACCACTAGCAGTTATAGCTAGGCAAACTACGTTCAAGTTGTGCACTTGTAAGAAAGGTACGTGTAACGGTCAGAAATTAAAGCTTGTCTCTCCTGCCGATACATTCTGGTTACACGATTCAGACTTTAATCGGTATATTGGACACTGCTTATTCTTTTTCGATTCAGAGTTGACAGTTTCTAGGATGAGGGATATCGTTCTGGTTCGTGTTTTAAACAGAAGAAAGGATGACGGACAGAAAGCATTTCCGCGTTTTACTCAAAGGATCTTAAGACTTTCGGCAGGCTACTGTTGGTGTGAGGATAATGATTTCAATGTTGAGAATCATATCTATGAAGATGACGTTAAGGTACGCACAAAAAAGCAATTGAGAATACGTCTGAGTCAGCTGATGATGGAACCTTTGCCATCTCATCGTCCATTATGGGAAATCAGACTGGTGAGGGATTATGGTGGAAATTCCGATACGGTATTGATCGTTAGAGTGCATCAGGCAGTTAGTGATGGAATTTCGTTGATTAAAATTCTCACCAATTGTCTGTCGGATACGCAACAGCCTATCAGGATGAAACCAAGATTCGGTGGAACTACATTTCCTCTTAATGTATTTAGAGCGCTTGTCGTGGGTCCATTGACTTTTATAATGTGGTTAATTTTTACCAAGAGGGACTATAATTTTTTCTCTCGTGGAGAGCCTTGTTCTAAACGTCGCGTCGTTGCCTGGTCTAGGGATATCCGCCTTTCGAAAGTATTACGAATTAAACAAGTTACTAGAAGTTGCCTGAATGATATACTCCTGACAGCCACAACCGGTGCAGTCAGGGAGTATTGCAGGAAACATGGGCCTTGCAACCCACCAGATGTGACTGTAAGTAATTTTTCTATTATTTTCTCATTAAATTATAACAATGTGACAAGATAAATGTAAGAACAAATCTCGTTACAAGATAAAATAGACTTGAAAATAGAGTTTGCTGAGTGGTGGTATTTTTTTGTTTTGTTTTGTTTGTTTTTTTCCATACCTTTCTTTTTAACATAATTGGCTTGAAAAATCTTAATTTGACAATAACATCCCAACATGAAAAAAAAATCTGGATTGTTTCCAATACTGCTCTTACGTCAGGTTTGTAACGTGGCCTCTAAAACACTTTTTCTTTCCTTAAATACTTCTGTAGTTCATTCTTTAAAATTCTTTTTTGCTTAAAGATTATTTAGGTTAATGCTCCTCTTAAAAGTGCTAAAAATTATTCTTAGTCGTACATAATTTTGTAATTTATATTTGTAAATATCAATTCTTTAAATTATTTGCATTGCATAAAAACTATTTCGGATTGATTAAGCAGAACAAAATGAATTCATCGGCATATTTAAAATGTCCTTGAGTTTTCTTTTGCCTTATACTCATTATAATTCTTTAAGGAATTAATCAAAGGAAAAAAATCATTTAATATCTTTATAAATTATCTTCAAATATTACTTTCTTTGTCATTACATGACATTTTCGATCATAACAACCCATCATCTTAATTACACTATTGTAATGAACACTTAAAAACTTTGCCTCTTATTGTTTCATTATTGCTGTGTTCCAAGTTACCAAATATTTTTGTTAGACTCCTGTTGTTTTTCATCTCTATCTATTTTCCTGTTTCCTGATAGACGGTAGATAAAGCTAAAATAAACGGTCTCCTGCTAACCACCGGTGCACGGTAACATGAAAATTCATCAGTTTAAAATTCTTCAAGGTTAGACAGCAAGTTACAAAACTATGATAATCCGAATCGCATAGTTCTCATTGTATTTATTATTATTTTTTTAAAAATTTATTCTAGGTAAGCTTGCCAGTCGATCTGAGTTACGAACCTTCAGCTGTAGAGTCTATACCAGAGATGGGAAATAAAATTGCTATAGTAAATACCTGTTTACCTACAAACAAAGAAGGTGTCATACCACGCTTATGGGAAGTACGTCATTATATGGAAGAACTAAAAACGTCTGCTGATCCTGTTGTTATGTATGGGGCTATATATTTTCTCATAAAGTTATTACCGCACGTTTTATCCCATTGGTTACTAGGTCTTATAAGTAGGAAAGCTACTGTTAACTATTGTAATTTGCCCGGTCCTAGTGAGTTTATCGTTTTAGGATCAAGAAAATTAAAGAAATTCTATTACTGGATGGCTTGTAATCCTAATGTACCAGTTTCATTTTCATTATTAACTTATGGTGGAAATTTAACTGTTGCTGTGTCTGCTGATCAAACTATCGTCACCACGCCCAAGGACCTTATTAAGAATTTCATCGCTGAGGTAAAACATATTTAAGTTTCAAATTTATATTACTTAATAATAAAAGTTATTAGACAAATTTATAACATGTGTATTTCAAATAATGAAATTTTTTAAAATCTATTTAGAATTTAGAATATTTTAATATTCTAAATTCTAAATTTAGAATATTATAATATTAAAATATTATAAAAACACAGAATTGAGATATTACTCTACTAGATTTAAAATGGAAAATTANGAGTAAGTTAATGTTTAAAAAATAAAAAAATAAAATAATAATAATAACTGCTTACGACGTTTTCATATTTGAATAAAAATTTACTAGTAAAACAGAAATTCATAAATGAAAAATGATGTTATAGATATTTTGATTCTTTATTCTGCTGATGTATTGATCTGATTTTATTATAACGCATATATTATACGTAGATCTGACATATTTGATCATATCATGAATTTCGTGATATAATTTTTTAACTATTAATTATGAGTTTAATGACGTAATGACTTTATTGGCTTTATAATATAATAATCATCATAATACCTAATTCCATTTAATTATTTGTTAATTGNTTGCTTAATATCTGTTAATTCTTTTTACCTCTGTGTCTGTACTGTTTTACTTTATTTCTATTTTGTCTACTTGGACCTTATTAATAGAACTTATTATACTAGTGTAGTTTCTGATTAGCAAAGAGAGGAACTCTTAGTCAAAAATCAAAACAAAATATTTTTATTTTCACCTGCTTAATATCCTTATAGTACCCTAATAAGAATGTGGCTGTAATGTATAAAGGTACATAGATTATAATGATTTATGATATTTTCTTTTCAGTGTTATTATTTAGAAATAAAATTAACATAGCCAAAACTTTCAGTGCAGGCCTTGTAATATGTACAACAAATGAGTGTAACAAGAATTAGTTATGATGGAAACTCATATATATGCATGATGTATTTAGACATTGAAAACGGGCTTGAAGAAAAATTTATTGTAAACCAGCTAGAAAAGTGTGGAAACACTGTTCTTTGACAATACTTTAAAATTAAGAGAGAGATGATGTATAAATGCTATTGTTGCTTTTCACAATAGCTTTTCTCAAGGAAATATGCAAAATGATAAAGAACAACAGAAACAAAATTCTCCAATGAGACTTTTTGAAGTCTCGAAATTTATAGTAATCTTTAAAAATTCATGAAAAATTGTGTAAAATCAAACATTTTTATTTAATCATCTAGAATTATATTAGGAAAAACTGCCATATTGCATGAAATTTTATTAAAAATATCTTAATTAAATTACATAAAATTTTTTATACGATCACAGTTGTCACTTTTGTTTCCAAAATAATCATTTCTATCTTAAAAATAAAACAAGTAAATCCAATAATATTATTACCTTTATATAAATTATATCTGATACTAAATTACATGAGTATATATTAATGTGCATTTACCATTTATATCTTTTCATTATTAAACAGTTTGCATTGAATGAATTATATGATTAGTAAATATTAATATAAAATGCACTGTTCTAAATGTGAGCTATAAATAATGTTTGTATTTTGATGATTCATTAACTAAAATAATTACATGTTTATATTTAAACATATTTTTATGTTATTCATTAGCTAAATTATATGATCTGATTTTATTAAAATTACCATTAGTTGTTTTTATATGATAAACTTTCCATGTACCATTTTCCTGTCTCAAAATACTATTCTTCATAATCTACACCAGTAGTTCTCAACCTTATCTTACCCATGAACCCCTTTTCCCCTTAATTTTTTTTTGTGGACCCCAATAGACATTGCACAGAAAAAAATAACCTTTCATTAATACAAAACAAAAAAANGCACATCCATTCTGCTGTAAAAAATAAATTCTATTTTATTTTTAAATTGAATTAAAAATGTCTTCATTTAACTATCTTCTAGATTATTTCTTGAATTTATAGAACTAAATTATTTCTAGATCCAAAGGAAAAAGATATGTATCTATTTATTTTAGTGTTAAAACAAGAATTCCCTTTTTAATAAAGTAGTTCCATAAAGGATTAACATTACCAATTTTTTAATGTAAAGATATATAATTCAGTCTTTGTTTTTTAATTAACATGATCCATTGTTCTGTGAGATGTAGGAACTGATAATATGTGAATTCCATGTTAAATACTCTTTTATTTTTAATGATTTTCGTTTCTTGTTTACAATGTATCAACATAAGATATATTGATACGGTTTAATATGAATTTCTTTTTAATTTTCTACTATAATATTTTTATAAAATGCATTTTATTTGTACAGTCGCATTCTCCAGTTTTATCGTATTTCTTGATAATTTTATTTAATCGTCACTTTAAAATATAAAATTAGTAATTAAATTATAATTAATCGCATGGACGAGAAGTCTTTAATGCGTGCACGTTCAAATATGGGGTCAATAACTAGTACAAGGCTATCGTCAGGGGCTTTCCGATTACTCACGCAGATCACGAACTTATACTATTTACCATATCCGTGTCATCACCTACCTGTTTAGAATCGATTTATAAACGTAATTCCTCTCTCTATCCGAGAAAAATAAGAAAAAAGAATTGCATAACATTAATCTAACCTAAATTCTAAAATTATATAGTAAGTTTTTGTTTTTCTGCAGATCAATAAATTGGCTCATTTACTAGCAAAAAGGAGAATACCAGGTGAACAACGTAGAAGGAGCAGCTATACATCAGAAAGGAGGCAAGAAGAGATTATAAAACCCCCCATGCAACAAGTAAGATCTGGCCTGAGTAAGATAGTTATTTCTTCTATTTTAATTAGAAATACATTAACTGTAAAAAATTATTTGAATTATAATTTTACGATAAAATTTTTCTATCATATTTAAAGATTTTTAAATAAATTTTTCATAAACACTATACACTTTGCATAATTTATTAGTAATATACAAAATTATTATTATTATTAGTGATGGTAGTAGTAGTAGTATTTAAATAATTTTTCGTGCTTTATTTCTATGAATGAATATAGTACAATAGCAATTGACATTAAAGTTTCAAATAGACTTCTGAATGTTTTTTTCGAAAACCTCACGCACATTATATATTAAACATGGCATAGTTCCTTTATAAATAATAACAGTAATAATGCCAGCTGTACAAAATAGATAAAATCATGCACATAAGTTCATTGCATAGTTTACCAAAGTATTATTCCATTCTAAATCTCCATGCAGTTTTATAAATCACGCATCCCAATAATAGAAAATGAAATTTAATTACACGTATGTGAATTAATAAAACAAAAATTAATTCAAGTAATTTAATTATATATATATATAAAGATATAAATTCTGAATTTATGCACGGTCTGTCAACCGCTGCGACATTAGTTTTACTGACGAACAATCTTCTCGTCATTGAGCTAGATAAAGGTAAAAATCTTGATTTTTGTTCCATGTAATTTTCGATTACACGGAACGAAAATTCAAAATTGCTCTGAACCGTATCAAGTTTCGATTATTTTTGACACCTGTACTGAAAAATCGATTATATTTAATCAAGGTCGTAGGGGTAAAATTTTATTTTTATTACTGTAAAATTTTTTCATTTTTAAAAAATAAAAAAATAAAATAATAATAATAACTGCTTACGACATTTTACCATCCGAATTAATTTATGAATAGAATTAAATTTTTGTGTAACGTTTTAGAATTTATTTAATTAAGAGTTTGCACGCTTTTTACATAATTAATTGTATTTTTACCGAATGAAACTAATTATCATAGTTATTTTTAAATTTAAAAAAAAATTTAATCGATTTTTAAAATAAATTTTACATTATTATTATATTTTTCACTTATTTCTATATTAATAGTATTTATATATATATATATATATATATATATATATAACTATACT